CTCAGCAGCTATAGAGTCGATCTCTGAGAATTTCTCTTTTCCCCTTCCCGAGTAACTCTCGAGTCCTTTCAGCATGTCATCCGAAAAACTCCCCCCAAACCCTCGAAAGCGCGCCTCACGACCCCCCTCAAAGTCCGTAGATCTCGCCCAACCGATTCCTACTCTTCTCCTCATTTCTATCCACTAGGTCATCCGTCCGTTCTAGCCGGTATCCGGCGCTGGCTCGTCGGCATACTCGGAGTACCCCTCATGCTCGAAGTGCGGATCGTCTACAACCACTTCGTCGGCAGTGACAATCTGAGATTGGTCAAGAGCCATGGCCCAATAATTGTAAAGGTACTTTAGTCGTAGCGGTGACGACGCTGCCGGTGCAATTTTCGATTAATTGGCTGGCGGGGAGAAAGCCGTGGTGGAATATGTGAGAGGCTGAGCGGTCGTTGGGGTTTAGGGAGTACCTGATTCGGGGCAGAGCGGAAGATTGATATGCTGGAGATCGTCAAAATGAGAACTCCTTTTCCCGTGATGTGGAAAACGCTCGGTCGAATGTTGCGGGTTTCGCTGCCTCTTGCACTTTAACATGGAATTATAGATGGAATTCTATATTAAACAGGGGCAGCAGAACCATCTTGGATTGCCAACGCAGTCGTGAGCGGAACGGGGCCAGTCTGCCTTCATGACCTGTGCAAGCGCCAAGCGCGGTGACTGGCCCTCGGGAGGTTTGTATAATTGTACGGACATCAATCCGTAATTCTGGAAATCAAGCGGGCCAAACAGCGCGAAGCACCGACTGTCACCATGCCTCGTCCCTTCGTCAGCTGGTACGGCTACTAGCTTGCAGTTGCGGCCTCCCACGCTCGTGCTAGATGTCCCCCGGACTACATATCTAGTGGGGAAAAGGGTTGCCCCGGACTCACTATCTAATAGGCGCTGACATCTCCATTCATCTCACTTTCCATCAAGGCTGACTACCATCACTATTGCCAAAGCCTCATTCCTGTTCTATTTCAATTGCACCTCTACCACCACTTCCACCTATGTCGACCGAAGGCCTCATCCGATTCTCAATCTGCGTCGGCCGTAAGAAAAACACCCCTGAACAGGAGTTTCACAACCACTGGGCCAACAAGCACGGGCCGCTCGTTATGGACTGGCTGCTTCGTTGCGGTGGCGTTCAATATATCCAGGTACTCACACTCGCCCTTTCCAATTTTTCTTGTCTCTTTCCTGCGCATGGGCGATCTCGTTCGTTCCCAAAAAATTTCTTTTTTCGGTTCTATCAGTAATGCCGGTATGTATGCTGGACCGGTCCCACCCAAGCGAAGAGTATCGCAAGCTCGAGCAGAAAATGGCAGATGCGACAGGTCGCTCGCAGCTACCTTACGGTGGCATTGGTTTCTACGTACATCGGTAAGGGGATAAATGCTCCTCTCTGCTAAAAAAGAAAATATAGCTTTAGGATTCCATACCCTCAACTAGACCATCGTAAAATACAGGCCACATGGGTCTAATCATATAGAGTAGCAGCACCCGACCCAGGTTTGTATACGAATTTCGATGTTGTCTCTGACGTTTTTACTAGCGGGATGGGATTTTCGCAGCACCGTACTACAATGTATACCAGATCGGGCGCCCATCTGGTGCATTGCTCTCTCTACCATCAAGACCCAACGTCAGGCACACGCTCATGACTTGTCGTCTCAGCTCAGTACTCATAGTCTCTGTAGAGATGACCCTAGCTACCTTTGATCTCTCACGATTGTCTCGTGTCTCTGTTAAAGATGGCACACGGTTTTTGTTTGAGGTAGCACATTGAACTCACGCGAGACCTGAAGGATGGGTGGGATGGATCATAAGTAAAGGGGAGTGACGTGCGATGCAGTGCCGTTACGGTGGTTGGGTCTTCCGTGATTCCGTCGACATCATGAGATGGTTCTAGTCGTGCATAATCTCCGTCTACCCTGGTTTGCAAAGGAGAGGAGATGGATTTATGGGGGACTTCACTGTGGATCCGTCATAAGCTGATTCTCACACCCACGCAGGTCTGTAGTTATTTGTTTGCAATAAGTCGCCACTATCAGTAGAAGTTGACACATCTTTACGGCCGCAGGGGCGAGTATCGAGATAGAAGACCGTCTAGGCTTCCGACTCTTTACCCTACAACCAATCAGTAATATGGAAAACTGTATAAGGACAAGTTAATGATGAAGGCCTAGACTCTACGATCTTCCTATCTCATGTTCTGGCGACCTCGTGGTCCGTTCGCTAAATGCTTGAAACAAACCACGTGCTTGAAGAAGGGGAAGGGGACAGTTACATTCACAGCGAAGAGCTTGCATGTAAGACCGCTGTTACGGCTGACTGGCTGCGTATCTAGTTGGGGCGAGCATCTCAGCTTATGGCAAGCACTCAAGACGAACGTACCGTGAGAAGATGCCTACCTCATTCCTGCAGCAGTTACAGCGCCGTCATATGCGAGTCTCCTTGAGCCCCTAAAGGTTGCACCAGGGCCTGTCAGTCGTTTGTGGAGCGAAATTTTAATCACCGAAGCCAGTTGTAGCGAATGGTGGATGTATCATCTCTGTCAAAAGACCAAACAGAGTACATTCTGATCTTGAATAAAGTGGTAGGTAATCGTCATCGAATATGGTGGACGATCTAGTCCCTATTGCTCGGTTATGCATCAAGGTATCGCGTTGGCGCCGTCAAGCTTTCACGTTGATTGATTCAGAAATATTACAGTCTTGCTGCCCAGGCCAAAGCAGATCACCCAACACCTATCAAACCTCTTATCAACGTCTTGATCTCCTACCTTTTGGGCACAGCTAAAGTCAATTGATGGAAAAGCAAGCCAACGACATGTCAAAGCCTCAGGATATTACCTTCACGGAACCCTCAACCCCCGTCGAAGCCAATCACAGTGCGCGGCGGATATTAAAAGACCGCGACAACATCCTTCATGCCTCCCAATACGCTGACTCCACAGCCCCGGAAGGTGGTTATGGTTGGGCAGTCGTCTTTGCCTGCTTTTCCATATCTTTCTGGATTGTAGGCACTGTCTACAGCTGGGGTGTCATGCAAGCTGCTCTGTTCAAGCAGGGTCTTTCTTCTCCCCCAACCCTCTCCTGGATTGGGTCTTTGGACTTCGCATGCATAGCCTTTCTTGCTCTTGTCAATGCGCGAGTGATACGATTGCTTGGAGCGAGGGGTACTGCGCTCCTAGGGATCTCCATGTTGGCATTGGGGGAGATACTGAGTGGGTTTCTGACACACAATGTGGGCGGATTGTTCGTCACCGCTGGCGTGGTGTCCGGGATTGGGACAAGGTACGATGCAGCTCATTCACTTGACCTAATTTACGTGCTAATTGTCGCCTTGACGGTAGCCTCTGCTTCATGGTGATTCAAACCTACAATTCGCTATGATACCCAAGATCAACAACTGACATCACTAGGTCATCAACGTAACCCCGGCACAGTACTTCCACAAGAAGCGCGGCCTCGCCAACGGTATTGTCTGCGCCGGCGGCGGCCTTGGAGGTACGGTCATCAGCTTCTCAATGAACGCCATCACACAGCGCGTCGGCCCAGCCTGGACCTTCAGAATCCTCGGCCTCTTGACATTAGCAACAGGTCTACCGGCAGCTTGGCTCATCAAAGAGCGATGCCCAATACGATCGGCAACCTTCATCGAATGGTTCCCATCCCCTATCCCTCCCTCGCATGAAATGATCGCTGACTGACCACCTCCATAGGAAACTCTTCCGTGACTTCAAATTCGTCACCATCTTCCTAGTCGGCGTCGTTGCCACCTTCCCCCTCCTCGTTCCACCCTTCTTCATCCCCCTCTACAGCGCCTCCCTCGGCCTCTCATCCAGCACCGGTGCCGCTCTGGTAGCAGGCTTCAACATCTCCTCCGGGGTCGGCCGCCTCAGTTCTGGTCTCGCTGCCGACGCCTTAGGACCTCTGAACACGCTTTTCATAGGCCTGTTCCTAACAACCGTCAGCATGTTCGTGATCTGGCCCGTCTCGGATTCGCTAGGGCCTCTGGTCGTCTTCGTGATCATCAACGGTGCTGCCAACGGAGCATTCTTCGCTACGATGCCGACGGTCGTCGGGACGGTGTTTGGCTCGCAGAGGGTCTCGGTTGCTATGGGCATGGTTGTGACGGGTTGGGCTGGCGGTTACTTGATGGTACGAGCCTACTTACCTCCCATGAGTGAAGAACGGCCTGAGAGTGATAGAGCAATGCTGATTGACTCGCTGCAGGGCGCCCCGATCGCTGGGTATCTGCTCGAAGCCCACGGCGGAGAAAAGAGCACGCTGGCGGCATACCATCCAGCTATGTTCTGGGCCGGATCTCTCGCTGTGCTAGCGATGGCATTGGTGGCGATGGTGAGACTGTATGTCAACAAGGATATCATGAGGAGGGTTTGATGGGGGAGTGGGCTGTAATGGTCACTACGGAGTTATGTATGAGGCTGTGAAATTTTTCGACGGTCGGTGTTGTGTCGTTATGAGTCTGTACGAGGATATGTAAGATGCTTCGCACAGTTCAATTTTCAGACTTTAATCACAATAGAATCGCAAGGGGGACAAAAAGGCGGCTTATAAAAGCTCATCGATCAGAGTAAGATAGACTTTGATTTTCCAATCCAATCCAATCCAAATCTCTTCAACTCAACTCGATTCGCCCTCCCTATCTGCTCCGCTCGCAGACCATCGCCTCATTCCTCCTTCACCACGCCTCCACATCCTCCATCTTCACCTTCACCTCCTCCTCCTCTTTCTTAACACCACCCCACTTTATCCCCTCCAACTCCCCAACCTCCACGTCTAAATCGTCGTACTCGTGGAACCACAGTACGTACTTCAGCTCCGCAACGCCGTCGGGCCATGTCTGGTCGTGCTGGACGTGTCAGTCGCCAGCGCCGTTGTGGGTTTGAGCTTGCGTTGATTTGCATGGGTCGAGGAGGGGGATAGGGAGGGAGGGAGGGAAGGGAAGGAAGGGAGGAAGGGAGGAAGGAAGGAAGGCGTAAAGAAATAGTTACCTGATGTACAGTAACCCACGTCGCGGCAGTGACGTCGCGACCGCCGTAGTGAAGGGACAGGTTGACTTTTCGGGGGAGGGATTCCTGGAGTTGCGCCTGGAGGAGTCAGTCGACCTTCGTCGCTTTTTAACATAGCCCGAAAAGAAACTTCGAGAGTGTGTTGAGAAGAGTAGAAACGAAAACACGCACCAATGCGCGCACGAGATCCGGATCTGTCCATCGGACGTGGATTTGACTGTCAGGGTGGAGGTTTCGGACATCGGGGTCTGGGATTTTGGCGGGAGGTTTGGAGACGTCGCGGAGGCAGAGGATCAAATCGGCTTGTTTTTCGGGCCAGGTGGGGTTGCGCGCGGTGGGTTGCGGGTACGTGCAGTATTGGGGTGTGTAGGTGGAGGACATGGTGTGGTGGTGGTTTCGGTGGTGTTTGGAATGCATCTTGGAGGATTTGGCCATGGTGGGCGCGCTGTTGGAAGGCATGGGTGGAAGTTTGGGGTTATGGTGATTTGAAGAGGTTGACCACCGGTGTTGGAGTTATGTGTTGAGCTGTCCTTGCTGGTATCCTTGAGGGTCTCTCTTCTGGGTGTCTGAGCTTGTCACTGGTCAAATGCTCACATGAACAAATGCGCTTCCAAGTATCAATTGAATCATCAGCCAGGATTCCACTCTTACTACTGATCCAGGATTCGGGATATGAGAATTGTTTGTCAAGAGGTCCGCATTTCTGTGAGCGCTCAGTGAAGGCTAAGATCAACGCATATTTCTCACCACAGAATGATGTTTCCTGGAATTTGGGGAGTAATGGATATGAAGATATGACCATAACTTCACAGAGACCTTGTACTAGATTTTCTGACATAAGAGCAGGGACCCATCTTGAAAGGCCACGGCAGGGCGGGAACAACTCCGATTGGCTAAGAATGAAGACGGATATTTGAAATCTCGGGACTGGCGATCCTGGCATTTCGCTAGTATCGGATTTTTCTGGTCAAGCATTCTAGATACAAGATTCACCGAAGCGTAATCGACTGTAGTTGTTCCCAAGTCTGCCGAGCTTCAAACTTGTCCCAGTCGACATGGTGATGAACGTAGTATGTACCGATGACTTGAAAGTACCCATTTATGCTTTTTCGTAGAACGAAGGGAAGCTGGAGTCCATACAAGAGGCATATGTGGTCGTCTTCTCGGGCGCCTGGTGGCAGAAGCGTCATCTGCCCATCGGAGGTGAACCCAAAGGAGCGTCCCTGGAGGTGATCGAGTTCTCCAAACATCACTTCACGAGCCCAAGGCGTATAAAGATGTGGGTTCTCTGGCGAGAGGATTCTTGCATCATCAAGATCGTACTCAAGTTCGTCAGGGTCGTCTGGCTCGGAATAGCTAACATCCTCCCCCATGAGCTTCCTGAAGTGCCACTGCCATCCTAACCCAGCGCTGTAGACCTTTTCTATGTCTTCTTCATCTCCCTGCGAGCCGAAAGTCATCTTCAAGGTACCACAAAATGAATCGATCCTTTTCTTCTGATCGTCCACAAAGCTGGGATGTTCTCTCGCGATTTGGTACCATTGTTGTAGGACGGCCAGCATGTCTTGGTATCTTTCTATATGATCAGCTGTCATGCGAGCTGGTGCAATGGTAAGTACATCATGAATCGTCAAGTACTTTACAACGAGAGAGGTCTCGTCACATATGAGGGTGACATCGGGACTGTCTTCGAAACTCAGCTTAGCTCGGTTCGGCCAATCATAAGGATATATGGGTGCTAGTAATGCCGGACTGGATAGGTCTGGTACCCAAGACGGCAAAACATCTACTTGCGGAGTAGGCCTAGAAAGTCCTTTCCAACGTAGGATATCGAGCGTATTGCTTTGCGAAATTGTATGTCGAGCGAGACATACGGACAGATTCCTCCACGACATTCCATAGTCGATTTGGAAAATATCGAGATCCACGTCCGACGCGAGGGCTAAAAGGGCAAAGACCTTGTCTTTGGGATCACTAGCGCCGCAGAATCTCGTATTCGACAAGAGCTCGGAAAGAGTCAGGTTGAAGATGTCACTTTCAGCTTTACCTCTCCAGTCATTCATGGCAATCATCATGGCTATTGACAGCTCAATGTCTTCATCCACAGGGGTGTTGCGGTTGTCATGTTTGTATCGGTCTAGGTACTCAGCGCCAAAATCCAGAGCTTCATCCCATGTGATGTATCCTACTCTATTATCATCGCGCTGGGACACTATGGTGATGTTTTGGGCGTAGACAACCTCTTGAAGTACCCACACTCGCATGGGCCACGGGTGGTGGAACATCTTCAGTGACCACAGAGGGAGCTTGGCGAGCCGCCGATCTTTATTGTTCTTGACTATGTTCCAGGCGATACTCTCGGCAAACGTCGTAAAGGATGGTTGATTCAGCCACACGACAACTTCTTTTGCCTGCTGGTAGATCTGCTTCATTAGCCTTACTTGCGAGCCTCGCTCTTGAATGTCATCTTGGTTGATGCAGATTGCATCAATCCAGAAAAACACTGATTTTTTCGTACAAAGATACACGAGAAATGCAAGTAGGTTCCCGGTGACACTGAGGTGGGAGTCATTTCCAATGGTGATCTGCTCGGGCCTTTCGTTCGTGCCCCAAGTGTATGACAAGGCTTTATATAGTGGAGCTTGCTGCAGGGAGTACTCTTCGAGCTGTACTTGGACCAGCTCTCCCGATCCCGAGTTCGCCATGCTCTGAGGGGTGACCTTGAGTAGTCGTATATGAGAAGCGTTCTGTAAGGGCTTATACCTTTCCTTGTGCTCGGGATGGACACGCTAGTAGGGTTCTTTGGACAGGGCTATTGATTGGTCAAATCCAACGTCTAGCGCAGATCCCATTATTATTTGGTGTAATCTTTATCAAGTAATATTGCGCTCTAAACAGAGTAGCCGTAATGATCTAAAAGAAAAAATTGTTTTTAGAAATCGATAATGCTAGCTTAAATACGATCTATAATAAATGTATTCTTTATTAAAAATTATCGAAAATTAAGTAGAACCTCTAGATATTAGATTATTAAAAAAATTCTTAAGAAGATCGAGTATATAGGCAAATAGTATATTATAATTATACTCTCTAAATATTACGTAATTAGAGAGCTAAACCGTATTAGAAATATCTTATTTTACGACTTATTATTAGATCTTAGTACGCGAGATTAATCTAGTAGAAGATGATAAAATAGTAGAATACGATAATAAGATAATAGGATACGATAAGGTGAAAGGTTTATAATTATAATATAGCTTTAGAATTATCTCTTATTAATCTATACTATCTATAATAACTCTAAATAATATTATATAGAAAGAGAAAGATAGTAGAGATAGTCGATAATTGATAGAAAGGAGGTAAAGATGAGAAGATGGCTTAATGGGCGATAGATAGTTAATATATAAAAGAAGAATAATAAAAGAAGTACGATTATATAGCTATTAAATAAGCTCGAAAATAGCTATATTCGAAGAATAATCGAATTATATACTAGTTTTATATATGCTTCTATATAACTATATATACTTACTATAATTATAAGCTTACTTTAGAACTATATTTATTTATATTACCGCTCTTAATAATTCTTATCTTCTATTATATATAAAGCGATTTAATAATTAAAGTAGTTATATAATATATAATAAAGCTATTTCTTCTTTATAGAAATATTAGAATTTAATAAAGTATTAAAAGTACGCTTTTTTAAACTCGATATACGTGATCTAGACTCGGCGATAATATTCTAATACTTATATTAAGTATATATTATATATTTCTTTATAACTCTTATAAGATTACTATATAGCTTGACTTTAATATACTTAATAGTCTAATTAAATCGTTTACTATCTAGATAAGTGATATATTTATTAACTTTAACCTCTTCTTTAAATGAGAATAGTTTCTTATATAGTCGAATCCTAAAGTTTTTATATTATCTCTTCTTTTAATAATAGTCTATATAACTTTTAATCTTAAAGCTATTAATAATACTATAATTTAATATTTAAAAGAAGATTAAATATTAATTTCTTATAGTCTTTCTCTAAGTCTTATACGCCTAGCGATATTAATTAGCGATATTTATCGAGCTTATATTATAGTTATAATTATTAATATAATATAAAATCTTAAATATCGCCCTAGATTATTTATTAAATAAGTTCTCTTATAGTCTTTGTATTAATGAAGGTAAGATCTAGTCTTTTCGCTACTTCTTAATAATATTACTTATTTTATTTACGATATATATCGTAGATAGCGAGAGTATCGTATTATTATTAATCTAGTCTAGATATAATACGTCGTCTACTAAAATAGCTATAAGCGTATTCTAGAATAGCTTATAACTCTATTTTTCCCTTATAACCTATAGAACTACTAGAAAATTAACGCTATTATTTATACGAGTAGTTTTATATACTTTAATATCTTATAATTTATAGCTCGTAAAATAACGAGATTAATATAAAGAGGTTATCGAGGTAAAAAGTATATATCTTATTAGAAGAAAGAGGAGGTAGTATAAGCGTAAGCTAATATACTATAGATTCGATAGCTATTAGCGTTTTACGTGATTTTAATTTGTTAATCTTTAAAGTGCGCGAGTAGTATATGAAGTTATATAGATATCTAGTTTTATAGAGAGTCTAGAACTTATACCCCCGTTTAATAGACTTATTTCTTATATCGACGATATACTTTAATCATCTAAAAAATCGAATCATTATCTTATCGATAGCGATATTATTATCGAGCCTTTAATATCTCTAATAGTAATTTCTAAAAGAAGTTAATAGAGGCTTTATTTTATATTATTATTAAAGCCTCTAAGACTTTAATTCCTTCTCGATTATTACTTTTATCTCTTCTTCTATAAACTCTATAGATATATTATTACTTAAAGAGCTAATATAAAAAAATCGCTATAATTAAGTAAATCTATTCTAAGTTATAAATAATTGCGATATATATATAAGATCTAATAAATCGATTAGTATAATAATAACTTACTTATAATAAGATAATACGTATTATAAAATAGCTTCTTATTTTAATAGCTTGCTATCTTGTCTTCTTAATAAATATCTATATAGATTAAACTATCTATAAATATCTTAATTTTATTTATATTAATAACTTATTAAGAACGCTAATTAAAATCTTTATTAGAAATCCTTAATTTAATAGAGTCTCGTTCTCGAGATATAGTAAGCTATTATAAGGTATATATATTAATACTTCGCGTAATAGTCTTAAATATCTCTTTAATAAAGAATAGCGAGAATAGAGTAAATAGGCTATTTTAATCTAGGTTCGCTAGAATTTAAGGCTTCGAAGTACGCTTTAATTCTTTCTAAAAAGTATTAAATATAGTTATAGAGAATTTAGCTATAGTAGTAGCAATAGCGTTATTTTCTTTAATAGCACCGAATCGCGATTTCTCGATCCTTGCTTACTATTTTTTAAGCTTTCTTTCTTTTATTAAAACCGCTTTTCTCTTAATCTTAATAATCTTTTTTATTATTCTTATCTTTACTGCTATATTTAATTAATTATATAGAAGTAATAGTATTTATAATAGCGTTTAAAGTCTTCTCTACGATATCGCTAGAGATTACTTTAATACTTAATCGATAGAAATAATAATTATAGTATTAGTCTTAATCTTCTATTTTATAGCCTTCTTCTTTCTTTAGCTATGATATCTTTTCGAGCTTTTCTTATAATAAAATTCTTTTTTAATATATCTGAGTCTTCTTTAGCTCGTTTCTCTCCTCTATTAATATAATAAATTTGAGCTAGAGCTTTTAAGATCGATATTAGCTTCTCGTAGACGTATTAATTACATATTTTAAGTTATTATAGAAAGTATTAAATTTCTTAATGGCGACGATATTAGTAGATAGAGGATATACTTCTATAGCTCGTCTCTAATAAGCTCTTTCTTATATTTTTAAGTAATTATTTTCTAACTCTTTTAGAAGATTGTCGCGTAAACCTCGATGTTTTATTATTAATTTTAGACGTATTTAATAATATAATAATTTCTCTTTTAGACTCTCGTTCGATAGTATAAGTAAATTCGCCTCTTAAAGATCTGTAATTAACTAATACTTTAAAGGCTTAAATTTCTTTATATATAATATTATCTAGTTCTACTCGCTTCGAGAAAGTATATATAATATTATTATTATACTTCTTACGTGCTATTAACGACGTTAAAAGCGAATTAATTACGCGTATCTAAATAAAAGATTTATAAGGTTTTAATAGATAGAGAGACTCGAATTTGACGAAATTTTAATATAGCGAGAAATAAGTTGATGGCGTAATCGATGTGAGCGATATAGCCTATTCCTTCGACTCAGTTTTAATATATTTTTATATATATAGAGGGTATTAATATATAGATAGCTACTCTTCTAATTTGGGGGCGTAAATCTTCTCCGCGTAAAGTGGCGAAAAATGATGCTAAGACGGCCGGAATTACTTTGATCCCCCTACTAGCGTTCCATCCCGGCACAAGGAAAGGGCTTATACTCATAGATTCCTTTAGCAGAAGCGGCGGCTCTGCTCGACACACCAGGCTCTTTTGGTACCTCCATGGCTCTACTGCCAATCAGGGCATAAGTACACTGCTTGTCTACTCTTTATTGATGAAGCTTCTGTAAGATCATGCTACAGATATCTGTTGTTGAGGTAGTTAGTTCGTATTAGGTTCGATTCCTAATGGCGCTGGTACAATGGTGTTTGAGTGTGTCTTTCTTATTTTCTGTTTCAGAATGTCGGTATAAAAATGCTGATAGGGACACTCTTGGGTGCCCATACTCAGCCTCATGGCTTGGCGCAGGTGTAACCCGGTGATTATCTCTTCCCAATCTTCCATTCTTGTGGAAGACTCAGGTCTTCGAGCAGGTGAATGACTTGGCTTTTTTCCTCGTCAGTATGCCAACACGAAATATCACGATAATCGGCTCCCTCAACACTGATCTAATCACACGCACATCCCGCGTCCCAGCAGCAGGAGAGACTCTGATCACCTCGTCGTACGACACGGGCTGTGGAGGAAAAGGTGCCAACCAAGCAGTAGCCTGTGCTAGACTCTCTCGCGAGAAAGGCTCAGAGGTTAAGGAAGCGGGATGCACCATCAACATGATCGGCGCCGTTGGCGACGACATGTTTGGACGTGACTTGATTAATGGGTTGGTCAGCAATGGTATTGATGTTGATGGTGTCAGAGTGAAAGATGGCGAGAAGAGCGGTGTGGCTGTCATCATTGTTGAAGAGGAGAGTGGGGAGAACAGGATTTTGATGAGTCCGAATGCGAATTATGCTTTGAGGCCATCGGACTTCAAAAGTCTACCAGACCCTTTGCCAGATTTGATTATCTTACAGCTTGAGATACCGTTGATTACGGTGCTACACATCTTGAAGCTTGCTCGGGAGAAAAATGTGGAGGTACTGCTGAATCCTGCACCAGCCGTGAAGCTGCCGCAAGAAGCCTACTCAGCGGTCAACCATTTAATCGTCAACGAAACAGAAGCTAGCATCATTACAAGTACTACGGGGCAAAACAACTCCTGGGCACTCTGGGGCGAGCACATACAGCGGCTTATTGATCTGGGAGTCCGCCATGTCCTTGTCACTCTTGGAGCCGAAGGAGTAATCTACCTAGATACTGGAATACAACGGGTCCTGCAAGCCCCAGGAGAGAAGGTGACAGTGATAGATAGCACTGGCGCTGGAGATACTTTTGTGGGCGCTTATGCGGGTATGCTGGCAAAAAGTGGGAGGGGTTCCAGAGATTTCACCTGTATGATGGAGCTGGTGGATTTCGCAAATAGAGCCGCAGCGAAGACAGTACAAAAAGGAGGCGTTCAGAGTGCCATTCCATGGCGGAATGAGGTCTCATTAGAGAACACTCTGGCTTTTGCAGGATCGGGGATCAGCTTTGACGAATGGAAGAAGGGTGTAGACCCGGCATTCAAAAAATAGGCGGACTATAGAAACAAGGAGCGACGCTCCATGCTACCGGATAGAAAATTCAGTATCCCGACACTGCTGCCAATCACAACCAGTCATACGCCATAACCCTGCCAGCCTTTAGCCTTTCTTCGTTACGGCAATGCCTCATAAATCCCCTGGCGGTCTCGTGATCTTCGTCAAGTGATCCCCATTCAATGTCTTCATGATCTTTCCCAGGCCCTCATGGCTGTAGTCCTTATCATTCCACATGTCCTTGTGGTATTTGACCTTTCCCTCTCCATCCAATGTCAACGATACCAGGCTATTGACCGGCTTCGTAGACTGAACTACCCGCGGAGTGTACTCTTGCTTCATTTTGAAGATGAGCTCTGTGTCGGTGCTAGAGACGATCTCGGTGGACAGGGTCTTCGAGGAGGCCATGACTTTGGGTATACCTAAGCCGAAAACAGCGTTAGCAAACGAATTGTGGTAGCGGCACACGCTGAATCTTCTTACGTACCGTACCACTGCCCCGCAATTTTATACCTGGTGTCACAATAGCTCCATGGATCGTCGTAGATTGCCTCCTTCGCGTACACCTGCATGTCCTCCTCGCTGGCGCTCCCAGAGTACAAGCTCGTGATGCTCTTCACTATCTTCTCCCTCTCTGGTGAGACCTTGATTGACTGCTCAGGATGTGGCTCATAGTCAACGCCAGTGGAGGAGTTTTGGGAGGCATCTGGATTGGAAGTCAGGGATTGCGGGTCAGGGCGGGGCTCGTGATTTTGCTGGATGGTTTCTGCGCGGGACGCCATGATTGAATGTAGAGTTTGGAGAATGAGCAAGGAGTGTCGACAGCGCCATTGTGAGGATCCAGGGTTGAATAGTGAGGTCATCGAGGGTGTACTTTCTCCCCATAACTGGGGCCAGAGCGCTTAGGAGCCGCGCGTGTACTCTAGTAGAGTACTTTAGCGTTGTGCGACAGGACGACAACTCGACCAGCCAAACTTGTTATTCCGTAAGGGACGGTGTGAATATATCTGAATGTACACTCAGGATATCTGGGATGATTTGTGGGATTCCTTTTCAAGATGCCGTGTGCAGTCTCAGCCTTTCTGCCGCTATAATCTGGATGCAATGGCCCGTTCTGCACACGCTGTTCTTGTTGCACATGTATGTGAAGTGATACTGGACACCTATGGCTTGACCTCAGAGCACGTTCATGTCCGACGAGAAAATCTTGTTGAGGCTTTGTTTCTCTTGGCGTATTGCCGTTGAAGCTCAATGGATTCATGGGCAGGCTCAAGGCACCAAACTAGCTATCAAACCATGTGGCAATTTTGTGAGCCTCGGCAAGCCGTTGCCAAGCCATTTTCTCCAAGAATAAGATATGAGAATGTGATCTCGGTGCCAAAAACTCTCGATCTGATCAAGCCTTACAACTCTGCAGGGGATGATTTTCTGGTTGACTGCTAGATATAGTGGCATCTTTGAAACTTCAACTTCTCCATTTATCTTGTTAGCTAGCTTGGTACTGCCGTATTTGGGTTTCACACCCAGCACGACTTGTCTTGCGTCATCAGTCCACTAATATCTCGAATTGCTTCTAGAGAGCAAAAACTGATGCCTGTCAACGATCAAGAACCATGCCATCCATCAGGTTAGATGCCAAATTCCAGGATCATTGCAAGGGTACAAAGCTGTACAACCGGCAGCCCCAGCACCAAGCCGGTATCAGCGATCAAATTAACGTCATGGACATCTTCAAGACAGGACTCCATCTATTCCTCTCGCCCGTTGAATATATTGGATCCTTGGCAACTCTCAGTCACATTTCAGCGATACCTGCAGCTCGCGGAACGATACTATCTACAAATCGCTGACAGACGGCCGTGCAACGGAGCTATGATACATCTCTTCACTGGCATCACTTCATGCCCACCGGGAACCAGTCTCTTGAAACGTCTGTTTCTTCGGTTTCCCCCTTTTTCCGAATTCTTTGTCGAGGCTGCGGTTGAGTAATTTTGCACCAACGGACCGCAGAAGCTACTTTGGAAAGCTAGAAAGCACGACGAATAGATTCTTCATCTGAACTCCCTACTGCGACTACTTTCAAAGGATTGGTTACTAGAGAACCTGCAGCGCCTGTATTGTGTGAACTCCGTAGTACGAGGTTGTTGACTCTGCAAGTCGCTTCTCACGAGCGCCGTGACGGATCTCCTCTTACCACCACTTCTCCACGTCCTGTTGTATCATGTCTAAGCGCATGCGCTATGAACAACTCAAGCTTCCTCGAGGCATCCAAAGTAGTATGATCGGTCGCAACAAGCTTTTTTCCTTCGATATACACTCCCTGAGGTCTTTCCGTACTCGCTTCCCCCATGATTCTTGCCCATTCTGCAGGTGAGTAGCTGTCTCTGGTCTCTTCTGCCCTTTGCATTACCTGCCCTTTATCTTTTTTTTCCTGCCTACGGTTTGCACGTTGCTGTGTAAGAGACACCTTCTTTTTCTTGCTACTTTCAGGCTGTCCGTAATCGGCAGCTTTCCCTTTGCTTGCTTCGACAGAGTCACCGACGGCGCTGAACCATTCGTTGTCGCCATCCTTGAAGACATCAGCCAAAAAACTCTGGATCCTAGCACCTTTGGCACTGGGCATCGAAACAGCAACAAGTGTCCCCTCCTCGTTTATCATGATTTCCGGATGCCGCCCACTATCGACTCCCGTAACTATCTTTGCCCATCTCTCCGGCTCGGTGTTTGAAGACGAGTATGAAGCCATGGTTGTTCTTTAGATTGACGTTGAAAGAAACGAGGAGGATCATGGGATCGAAGGGTAAAGGATAGTCGAAAACCGAAGACAAACAAACCTACGTGGCATATTAGGAAGAAGTAGCAAACCCCGATAACAGCAAAGCTCAAATCTTCCGGCGATCTGTAGATGCTGCAATGATTGTCCAGAGCACGATAGATAACTCGGTACGAGCACTTTCTTTTGGACTTCCGAGCCACTCAGCTATGGAGGACAGCTTGAAAGATTCTTTTCGCATACTTTTGTGGATATCAACCAGGACGGACTGGCTGTTTGTCTTCAAAATTTCGAGAAAGAGCACTCGACTAAGATAATGCAACATCCCTTCACTTCATTCGAGAACCAATGAAGGTGCGTTATGTTATGATGTTGCATTTTCTGGCAGCGCACGTCTTGACCTTGAAAAGTTGAAATCGCCTCTAGGTGTGACTTTCGCTACACTCTCCTACGATACACCTTTAGTCAGGTACCCTGAATTTCAGTCATTGGAGGAAAGACCTGTTTTCTCGCTCTACGCTCGATGCTCTGCCGAAAGATTGGGCCAAACGAGGCTCTTTCAAGCCAGGCGTCTCTACCTTCGAATGGAATATTAAACAGAGAGCACATACCACAATTGCAGAGTCTCCCTAGGTGTAATGCGCAGATTTTCTCACACACTCTGTTGTCTTTTCGAGAAAACTTTGCTAAAATTGACCCGCGGCTGCGGATTACAACAGACCAATCGCCTCAAGGCTTTCCTCTAGAAGTACATGAAGGGTCATCCTAGTGTATCTTTCCTTCTAGTGCCTCTCATCTTCTTTAGAGAGATTTTTTGAGCCATTCTGTCGAGGCCAACACCACGCCGTATTTGGAATCGGCTGAAATCTGCACTTAGAGATTGCCAGTAACAGTTCCAAGATTCGCCGACTTGGAGTACACCTCTTTGGGTCTAGGCATCCCCGCCAATCCGACCAACCCTACCGACCCCACCAACCCGTAGAGGATGGTGACATCCGGTTGAGTCCGGTAACCCGAACCTTCTGTGAAAGCTGAGCAAGGCATTAAGATTCGGCTCCGACCTCCACCTCTGCGTAGCAACCATGCGGGAGGATCATTCATTATGCAGGCAGCCGCTCGAAGAGAGATTGATCGGCGGCTTAGTCCACCAATCACATTTTCATCAACGTATGGTTACATTTTTCAAATTCTGCGCTGAGAATGCTGTCAACATGACAGAACTGTCTCGCTACAGTCGTGTACTTGCTCATTTTTGTTGACTTCTTCACGATACCCACGAGAAAAGTATTCTCTATATGCCTTGCTACTTTTTGTAGAAATTCCAAGCTTGTTTCACGGTCGCGTCAAAGCTGCTAGAAGGTGACTCATCGACTAAAAACCTGTCGGCCGCAAGAGAATCACGTCCTGCACTGACTCTTTAGGCTATCGTCTCCAAGAAGTCCTGTGACCAAAAGCTGATCCTACCTGATGTCGGTCATGATCGGTGGCGAACCAAGATGCAGGCTTTCGAGCCACCTGATTCATCCACCGTGATACATCCGATTCACCGCTGCGATGGCGCTAAAAAAACGATTGCCTCGGTTCTCCTCGATGACGACAAGCAGTTTCATGACTACGGTGCGAGTATATTAGAGCTCTGTTCCATCCCATCTCTCCAAGTTCTCCTGAAGCAGCAGAGATCTCTCATCCCATAGAGCGCCTCCCCTACCTTCCAAGCTATACTTAGCCGCACTTCTTCCAGCTTCCTCTCCCAGAATGTTGTACGTGCAGAATGTCGTCAGTCAGCAGGCGTGGGAGCCCATATTCAGATTGAGAGCACGCCCAGTCTGGGTCCAAGTGATCGTGTGCGATCTCTTGAGACAACTCAAAGTCTTGAGGACCCTGACCACTACGCTACCAAGTCTCGACTCAGTCGGTCTCCCACCTGGTCGCCAGTTTCGAGTGGCCTTCGGCGACATGGACGCTCTCTGTGATATTCTAGTGAGTGCACCGCTTGTCTAGTCCGCGACAATGGCGGAAGGACGTCTAACACCAAGGTCATTAGGAATTCATCCACAAATGGTACGGCGCGCTCCAGGTTGCGTATGGGGGTCCAGACGACAGGGGCACGCTGTGGATCAAATTCTACAAGGTATGCAAGCAGCGACGATATGCAGGGGAAAGGGTTTAAAGATCTGTAGTTGTCCGCAAAAGGCCGAACCTGGGAGACTCATATGCAATTCATCATCTGGATCGACTCTCGGAGACCCTCAGCACTCACCCTCGAGGGAAGCAACAACCAGTTCTGCGGGCCGACCACGGTCCAAATGCCACCGATAGACTTCAGGGTCGCCAATTATCAGCGGAAGATACCAGCTTCCCAAACGCGCAGGGCCAGAGCCGGAGCGCCTGGGTGGTCGGGAGAAGAGGAGGCTACGATGGTGTACACCAGGGTAATCCATTCTCTCCCGCATTTGCCACTGAGCGAGTGTTTACTGATGACGGTCTTTAGCAAGAGATAGAGTGGGAAGGGTCTGACGGATGGCTCCTTGAGCAACCATTGGGCAGGTTCGGCTGAGGATCTTCAGAGATGGGGACGACAAGCTAGCATCTCAAGCATATATCTCGGTCATTTTTTTCATTCGCTCACTTTCGCCACTCTATTACTTTCCGCGATGGTCTTTTCGGTAGCCTGCAGGTATTATAGTTACTAGCGTATTATGTTTGGGCTAATTATCGAAATCATGAATGGCAAATTATCGAATCATACCCTAATTACTAAATCATACCCCTAGGGGTATGATTCAGTAATTTTTTATTTTGGGGTATGAATTAGTAATTAGCCCTAATATGTTTGCCACAAAAGTTTATGGATTTCCTGATGACTCTTGCCAAGTTCCGTAGGCAACAAGCCCGAAGAATCGGGTATATGCATTGCACTTTTCCCGAAACGGTGACATGTATAGTGGGAGAAATCCTAAGTATACCTGCACTTTAAGTGGGAAAAGCTGTATTTCAAATAAACAGTCGACTTATTCGGGCTAGCTGTCGCAAAAGTTGCATTTGTAACCGGATAATTTCCACGATTATCTGCACTATGAGTGAAAAAAAACCGTGTTTTTATACGAACAGTCAAATTGTTTGGGCTACCCCTAGCAAAACTGCATTTGTAACCGGATAAATGCCAAGAATATCTATACTTGAAGTGAAAAATCGCCGTACTTTTACATGAAGAGTTCAACTGTTTGGGCTGCTCCCGGCATTTATAGCCTGACAAATGTCAAGACTGTCTGCATGTTGAGTGAAAAGAAGCTATATTTCTACATAAACAGTCAGATTAACTAGGCTGGTCCCCGTACAATGTACACTTGTAACCGGATAAGTTTCAAGAGTATCTGTCCTTCGGGTGGCAAGGAAATTGCATCTTCATATAAACAGTCAAAGTATTCTGGCTGGCGCCTGTAAATGTACGTAAGAATGATAAGTCGAGAGCTGCGAAATGTAGCAAGGCCATGGGATTTGCTCCTATATACTTCTACACTCATAGCTCTAAGTGTCTGAAAATAAACGCGGTGTATCGAGAGTTATCCCGAATACGTCTGTCTCTTAGATAAGTTACTTTTAATATTACTTTATAGCTTTAGCTCTAAATAACTGAAATCGAACGTAGTAGATCGAAAATTATCTCCAATACTTTCGTCTTTTAAATAGTTTCTCTTCTATTTTACTTAATAATTATAATCTAAGTAAATAAAAAGAAAAGTAGCTAATCGAAAATTATCTTGGAATAATATATCTCTTAACTAATATTCTCTTTATGCTATTTGATGTTTCTAATCTCTTAAGAGGTCGTAGAAGATACAGTCACGTATAGGAAGGTCACGGTAGGTGAAGGTAGTACCAAAGGATTAGTAAGGCCTTGGCATACTCGTAATACTGTTCCAAGCTGGATCTCCTCCCTATCGCAATTCAAAACTTTTGTCTCCGAAGGGAGAGAGCACTCAGAGAAGACCCCATCCCTTGGTATTGATTTGGAACTCAAATGCAATTGGAACATCTTTCTCTCTGCTTTCATCAACATTCTGGTCTCGAAGAAGTGAGGATACCGAAAAAAGATATGATTCTTCACAGGACGAATCCTTGCGCACTGCGCACACATTACAGTCGAGCGTTGCAGATGGAAGCCACACCGGTAGAAATTTTGGTCCTACAAGAAGACGGTCTCGATTCTATTGAAAAGCATACACCAGTTGTCAATCTCTCCCCTAGGACCCTACATTATTTCAACGTCAGATACACTTATACACCAGTACTCACTCATTCCCTGAGCCTCCATACGATGATCACATTGATCCTTTCATTACGCTATTCGATCATCATGACATTCAGCAATCAGATATCCATGCTTCTCACCAGAGTGAATCAGCTCTATCATCAAGCTCATGGAGGACATGCCTCACTCGGCACTCCACCAGCGATTCGGGCCACTGCCTCAGCAAGCGCAATCGACTACGCCGCTGAAGCAAGCAGCGAAACAAGAGCAGGAGCGAGAGAAGCAATGTGCTAAGGGAAAAGTCGCGAAGAAGAGCGAGGCCATCAACAGTAATGACCGTGACAAGACAGGTCTACGCTCCATATTTCGACAAGGAATCGCTATGCAAATTGGTCAGGAAGCTTCCCTCCGATTACGCAATGCTTCACTTCTCGTTTCTTTCACCTAAACACGTTACATGGCTACTATGGAGGCTACAGGCTAACGGTAGATGCTGGAATACACAGACGATGTATTCCGATAATTTGGCAGCATGCCCAGCAGCAGCCTCGCTGAAGATTCTGGAACGACAATGACAGGAGCAAGGGCTGAAAGTACGGCTAAAAACGTTCCAGAATAGGAATCATGCCAATCCTTTGACTTGTTTTCTCTACTTTCTATGCTTTCTCAGTTTCCTTCGTCTTCTCAGCCAAGACTTTTTGGAGAGCTGGAGCAACTTTAGCCTTGTTCTTCAGCTTTCCCCTAGGGTACCCCGCAACAGCGACTACCTCTCGTCATGCATATCTACTTCTTTCTTTACTGCTTACTAGCAGTATTAGGATGGCAACAAGGACGCTGTCGTCTTTTCGAAAAGGGTGACAACCTGTCTGTCACAGGACGAAGTCTTTGAGCCGTAATTATTTCTGGGAAAGCTCTTTTGTGGTTGGCTGAAGAGCCTGTCCGCTTCCAAGCTGAACAAATAACCACGTCGCAATGCATGCTCGGAGGAGAGTTTGCGTTTGCGATGATGATGCGTTTGAATCTGGGGCTGAGCTGGCCGTTGCGCTGTCTGCCGCAGCTATCAGTTTGCTTTCGGCCGTTATTTTCCCTGCCGAGATATAAGTACGCTCAAGTTTTTTGCTTTTCTATAGCCTATTTCAAATCTAAGTTAGAGCGATTCTTGGCTCGACGAAATCCAGGTTTGAGCGATTGCAGCCTACTTGAAATCTAGGTTAGAGCGATCCTTGGCTCAAAGAAATCCAGCTTTGAGCGATTGCAGACTATGGAAAACTATAATCTCCAATCTTCAGAAGGCTCAAAAAGGCGTTCCCCGGCCTTTCTTGGCGAGGCTTCCTCGGACTCCGGCGATCCAAACCCACCCAAGCCGAAACAGCGTCGCCACCCTATCACAGATGTACAGCGAAAGGATCTCCGTATACACCAACAAGCATTGATCCAGGAGAATGGCAAATGGACCACCAATCAGATGCTTGATTTCTTTTACGAGAAGTACCATAGGGTTCTCAATCAGTCCACGATATCGGAAAGCCTTTCCGATACATTCAAGCACCTCGATGAAGAAGACCGCCCTGTAAATCCTGACGCCAAGAGACAACGGACATCTTACTGGCCGGATCTGGAAGCCGCTGTATTTGATTGGCATCAGCAAATGCTAAAGAAGAAAGTTACCGTTTCGAAAGAGACTCTCAGGGACATCGCCAACAAAATCTTCTATGAACTCCCCCAATACCGCAACGTCGAGCCCCCCAGATTTTCAGGGGGCTGGTTGGACAGCTACAAAGCTCGGTACCAAGTCAAAAGATACTATCGCAAAGGCAAGTCCGGTGCTCTAGATCAAGTAGGCGTAGAAGCGGAGCTCGAAGGTCTTCGTAAAGGTCTGAAGATCTACAAGTGCGAGGATATATACACCATGGACGAGACAGCTCTCTTCTGGAAGATGAGCCCGAACGATGATCTCACGAGCGAAAGCAAGGCTGGCGGCAAGCTGGAAAAAGCTCGGATCACCGTAGTTCTCGCCTGTAACGTCACGGGCACTCGAAAGCTCGCACCATGGTTCGTTGGGAAGGCTCAGACTCCGCGATGCTTCGACCGTTCTGGTGTTCGCGTGGAGAATTTTCCTACTGTCTGGCGATCCAATGGGAAGGCTTGGATGACGGGCGTAATATTCGAGGAATACCTGCGATGGTTCGACAGGCAAATGGCTGGCCGGAAAGTGTGCCTTCTTGTTGATGAATTTTCTGCTCACGGGGCGGTCGTCCAGTTCCTACCTCGCGAATCTCCTGAAGGTCTTGCAAATACTACAATCCTGGTTCTCCCTGCTAATGCCACCTCTACATTTCAACCTCTTAACCAGGGAATCACTCGATCATGGAAGGCCCACTACAGAAGAAGATGGCTGACAAACATGTGCAACAAGTACGATAAGAATAGGGATCCTATGAAGTCAATGAATGTACTGCAAGCTATGCGCTGGGGCATTGCCGCATGGGAGGACGATGTCACACCGACTACAATCCAAAACTGCTGGGTCCAGTCAAATATACTGGGGCCCAAGTACGCTCCTCAGACTGAGGAGTGGAAAACTCTCGTCAATGAAGATGATCAGATATTCAACAACGCCGTGGCTCAAATGGAGCAGCAGATCGAATATCTCTCACAGCAGCAACGTTTTAGATCCGCTATGAACATAGCCACGTTCATCGACCCCGTCGAAGAGATTGTAGATGACAACGACAACGATGACGATTTCTTCGAGTCGCTTGTGGAGTGTTACAGCACCGGTGGAGTTGAAAGGGATCATGAGACTGACGAAGAAGATGTGACTGTAGCCCCCATCGAAGAAAAGGAGGCTTTGGCGCTACTGTCCCGTCTGCGGTTGTACGAGGAACAACAGATAGACGGGGATGGGATAGTTATATCACGGCTCAATACGTATGAGAAGAAAATCTGGACACGGGCGATGACATAGAATGAAAGACATTTCGAACGGTAGGTCCGTTGTTGGCAACTACAACCGTAGCAATGGATCATGTCCGTTTCAAGTACTCTCACTGCTTCGAACGCTAGGGGTATTGGCTGGTATGGAAAGAAAGCTATGAGTAGAACAAGGTTATTCGGGACATGATTCAATAGATCTGTAACAGTAAGACTGTAATGTGTAAGAGGTTCCAGCCAAGGCAGGCAAAGAGGGGGCAAACCATGCGGGCGAAAATTTCGCAGGTTTCAGCCACCTCACTGAGGTGGAAGGTGAATATGTCAAAACCAGACTCTTGAGCAAATTGCTTAGGGGGGGGAGGGGAAATATAATCCCGAGCGTTGCCTCCTTTCCGTAGTGACACACTTTCATCATCATCAATCAGAGACAAATCGACTTGGCCATCTTGAGAAACTCATGAATGGTCTCACATCTTTTTGAACGGTCACGGGAACAGCTAAACGCGTTTGAACCGGCCCAACGCCAGGGCTAGCATATGTACTACCCCGGCGCTAAGAAAACCCCCCTTACCCATGAGGCGAAGACCTGGAGTGAGACTGTAGCTACATCCATGCGTGGGCGGATGGGGAGAACGCATTGGCTCTGGGAGAGACGAAGTCGAATGAAGAGCCACATGCTGGTGTAGGAGAAAATAAGAAGCAGCGCAACACCATTGTACCAGCGCCATTAGGAATCGAACCTAATACGAACTCAATACCTCCAATAACAGTAGGACGAGTAGATATGCTGCTCCGCTATAGACACGTGTCTCCTGCGGCAAGTATCATGAGAGCCGCTAACCCCCAGAAAGGCGGCCGCTCGAAGTAGGAATCATGTTATCCCTTCGCTGACAAGGACGATCATGTAGGATTCGAGTGCCTTCCGAGACCGGAGCTTTGGAATCCCTTCCATGCATGACGTTTACTACATTCTCCTTCTTTACGTAGAGACTGAGCGCGACGTCCTGAATACCGATAGGCAGTCTTCGAACTTCCATCGGCGGATGCATTGAGGATACTTATTCAGAAGTTACGTCCCCGCATACCGATAACGGCCCCCCCCCGACTTATCGACTGAGGAAGCGTGCTCTGTCCACGCAGCGGAATCCTCTGAAACGGAAGGAAGGAAGGAAGGAAGGAAGGAAGGACACTATCAACCTATCGGCTCGAAAGTCCCCTCGATCGCATCCTCCTCTCGTTTGATCCATCACCCTTCTACATCGACCCAACCCCCCACTCAGCCCACCATCTCCACACGCCTCCGCCAAAGCATCCACGAACCCCGCGTCCGTGCCCTCCACACCCTCACCCGACCTCCCCACTCCCACCCCATCAACCCCGCCCGACCCCCCCAAAGAAGGAACCCGATGGCTATTCCCCCAGCCTCGCTCTCTTTGCTTTCCAACATCCAACCCCCCACAAACCATCCCCTCATCCCGGATAAATCCCCCCAAAATCCGCTCTCTTGCCGGTCCGTTGCTTGTCGCACTGCGCGTTCGGCTCCCTCTGACGATCACGTCACGCTAAGTACTCACGTGACCATGCCCCCCCCCATCCCGCGTTTCTCATCGATCGACGGCCAAACGTCGGGCTGGTTGCCGTGGGTTTTTACGAAAGGGGGCGGCTTTGCGGTATCGGATGCATTTCGCGCACGCTGGTTTGTTGTCCGTTGACCTTCCGTGACTGAAGCGGATGGCGGCCGGGGCAGAGGAATTCGTGGTGGTGGTGGAGGGGGACTCGGCTGGTTTTGTTGATGGCGGTGGTTTGGTTGATGTGTGGCCGGTGGTGTCGTGTGCGGTTGCGGAGTTGGCTGAGGTGTTCGGGGTCAAGTTTATGAAGGGGAATTTTTTTTTGGTAGGTTGGATGTGGAGCATGACCGTGCGTTTAGTAGTTTGCTGGAAATTTTTCGGATCTCTTATTCATAGGAATGTTAGGTTCTTCCGACATTGCCCATTCAACAGCTTCTTGAGCATAGATTGCTCAGGCCAGGCGATCCCATGCCTTTCTCGTCTGCGCCGGCCCTTGTTCGTGGATGGCTGGGCTGAATATCTGGCTACGAAAGGTTCAGTATCGGTGATCGGAGATGTATCATCGCACATACAGGTTTTCGATTGCCGTCCTCGCCTCGCTCCTTTTCAGCCGTTGAAGCATTAGCTATCGAACCACACATACATATGCTAAGACTTTACCCACCAAAATCTGCAGTGCAGGGGATCAGAATTCCAACATAATACACGTTCAGCTTCTTACCATGCCATACTGAGCGATGTATCGATACCTGTGCAAGTTTTCTTTCCGTACTTTCAATCAGTAGCAACTAAGAACATGCAGAAACTCCACTCGGCTCTCTAGCACGACTACTCGCTGACCGGGCTGGGAGCCTGGGAGAGATGTCACACAAGAGTCCGCTTCTTCACGGAGCGGGGAACGGAACACCAGCTACTACGAATTACCATAAAGAATTCAATAAGCCAGTTACATGACCCGCCAATACATCTCGCCCCTAGCTTCCATGCTCATGATCAATGTCAACCCCATCGTCTCCTCAAGAAACGCTGAGCGAATTTATTCGTCTGCCCTACTCGGTCCGTTTCAGACGCCTCATCTGAGTCCGAAGTTTGGGCAAAAGAGCAACGTGAGAGCTCCAGCGACCCCATCACAGCGGGGGTCCTTGATTGGGGATTGTTCTGTGCTGGGCTGGAAGATAGAGTCGTGAATGCAGGTGGAGTGGTAGATACAGACATAAAAAGTAGAGCCAGGCGGGGTAGTGGAGGCAGGCTTCACATCGTACAGCGCTCCGAGTGCCACGGACATGGAGGGAGGAGTAGGCGCCGTGACGTCTATGTAAGCGGCTGTTGTGGACGAGATGGGACACGTGATGATGGTGGTGGAGGAGTGAGGGAGGATGGAACGACGAGGATGGGAGAAAAGGGGAACATCTTGCGTGTGTTGTAGGGATTGAAAAGGCGAGATGTGCATCAACGCATTCTTCCATGCCGCAGCAGGTAGAGGGAGGGCAATGACGACCTGGCCTGGATGATCTCCCTCGCAATGAGGATGCATGCTTCCTAATCTCACCGTTGCACGCACCATCTTGCGCCCATAGCTCAATCCCGCAACCTAGCATGGTCCAGCAACCGACGACCTCTTCCATCTCAAGCACGGTAGCACAATGCCACCCCAATGAACCACGGCACCCCCTCAGCGAGCGTAATATCTCGCCCTGCTCCGTCGACGGTCTGCCCAGAGCATCTGGACCCCAGTCCCAGCATCCACCATCGCGTTCCCGAGATCCCTGCTCACGACCGCCCTGTCCATCAGCATCTCTCCCCCGTTTCCTTTCCGATCCCTCGGGCTAAGCAGGACGGATTCCTCGTCGTCGAAAGGGGCATCCGCTGTGTGCCCAAAGCGCAGATTGACACCGCCGGGGCCGAAGTCCGGGCTGATGAGAGCCCCTCCGCCTTGCGTGAATGCCTCCCATTGTCGGTTGGATGGTGAGATGTGCATTGATCCGTCTTGAGTCAAGAGTGTATTCACTGTCTCTTCTTCGGCGACGGTGTGCTTGATCTGCAAGAATGTCAGCTAATAGCTCGCAGCGTGTTTCCGAGCCGCATACTGCGTCGTAGGCTTCTGCAATTTTATCCAGTAGTTGCTCATCCGAGCCGTCAAATCGATAGATCAGCTACCCAGTATCTTAGTCAGCAAGCTCATCCACCCGGATACACAGCCAGGAGCCCCTACTCTGTAATTCTTTACCCATGCCTCCTCGGTCACTTTCTCATACAAACTACCCCAACCCAACGACCCATACTTCTCTGCTAGCGGTGGCACTGCCGCCTCTCTCTGTCTCGCTATCTGGAGGTTGTAGTCATGCTTCATGTTGAGATGCTTATCGAAGTTCTGGCGGTAGACGTATTTGGCGAACGTTCCGTTGACAATAAAGGGGTATTGTGCTTTGGTGGCCAAGCTTAGCCAGGTCAGATACGTAGGGTCGAGTTCGAGAGATGGAGGCGCGGTTGCGGGCGCAGTGGTGATCGGGGCTGGCGATGATGACCCGCCCGAATTGTTTGGGTAGACTACTGAGACGTTCTCACGAAACGTGACTGATTTGCGCTTTGAGGCCATGATGTGTAAAGATGTCCAAATCTTCGCAAATTTTTTGGAGGCGATTAGTGGATTGAGCGATGATGAGTGTTAAGTCTGGCAGAGGTTGATGGAAGGTGAGGCGTGGTACGAGAGGTCGAGGTTGTGGTGGAAAGTTCGGGGGCTTGGCATATTGTGTCGAAGGCGAATCACAGACGGTGATTAGCTACGGGAGACAAATAAGCGCGCTGGCACGGTGGGAGATGTCAGTTGCCTGCCTTGTTTAATCATCGGTCCGGATACAGAACCCCAATGTCTTGCACTTTCCACAAACATTTGCCGCCTCAAAGGATTTACGCCAAGCTTCAAGGCAGAACATCGGATTTGCTGACTTCGAAACCGGCCAAGTCTCATGTATCCCATCCGTTCTGTCTCCTCTGCTAGCCCCAAATGCATTGCTCCTTTCAGCTCTGCCTTAGCCTCGAATTCTGTGTCAGCAGGTATGGCTATGATCTCGAATGATCAGTGCATCTGCCTCTGCTAAGCACTGAGCAACAGCACCTTCAAGTCTGCATTGGCACTAGGTAAGGATGCTTCGCCTACACTCGGTCATTAAAGCACGAAGTTGCCTTTTCAGCGGTCACCACGTACCTTAGACCCCCTAAGTACCCTTGGCCCAAAGGTCTGCGGTAACAGTCGATGGCGTTCCAAGCAAGTAATGAGGTTCGCGCTTCTCGTGGAGCGTTGCCATGTCTTCTTAGTGGTACTAATCTTGGCAACCTAACAGATTAGTGGGGCGTCCACATGGAACGTTTCTAAACCAGTAGCTGTGGATTTGAGAGCGCATGGCCTTGACATAAGCATTCTGAATGAATGGCGTTGTTTTTGCACCTTATTCTGGTTGGTTCCTGCATCAAGTCAGAGGTTATGAGGCTCCTGGGCTAGGTGAATGAAGGCTTTGGAGACGTTATAGGCCGTTCTGTGTTCTAATAAGCGCTCAGATTGTGGACTGGGTGGCATGGGACGGACAGAGCCCGTTGCAGAAAATTCATCCCATGTTGAATTCGTCAATCAAAGAGATATTTGGCAAAGCCTGGAGCAGATATAGTACAACGCATGGATCGGTCAACATTATCTGCCTACTTCACAAGATAACGGAAGGCAGGGATTCTCTTTTTGCAACCGGAAGGGTCACACGGCGGCTGCGGTACCAGGTATAATACCATGTTTGACTCTACCTGGGCTGACGAAGTAAGCACACAATGCTTACTCATCTGTGACTGAAGCAAACTTCTCAGTCATGTTCTGAAGCAGCTCATCATACTGTGCACCCGTCAGTTTTGAAGCCTAGGGGAAGGGAAATGGCTCCTTTACCTTCTTCGAGATCTTCTCCTCGCCTTCTGACGGCACCTCAAATTTCATACTCCTCAGTTCGTTTTGAATGCTGCTCGTAGATTCTCTCACTTTGGCCCAACTGTGACCCTGCGCAACTGCCTTCTGACTCTCATCATGGAAGCCCATGAAGGCCTTCATCATGTACTCTGTCTTCCACATCGGGCAAAACTGATCGTAGTCACTGTACCCGTTTTGTTGCAGGAAGTCGTCCTTGAGAAGACCAGCAACATCAAGGGTAATCTTGTCTGGATCACCCAATGCAGATTTACCCACCAATTGCACGACTTGGTCCAGATCTTCTGAGCTGGAGAGGAGTTCTCGGATGCGATCTCTCAGTTTGGGAAACTCGGGATGGTCTTTCTCGTAATATTTGTCGAGGATGGTGGTGTACTTGCTGTAAGACTGAGAGGTGTTGATGGACGGGAAATGCTTTCGTTGGGCTAGCTTCTTGTCGAGACCCCAAAAGACCTGCACAATACCAAGCGTACTGCTTGTGACAGGATCCGAGAAATCACCGCCAGGAGGACTGACGGCGCCGACAATACTTACGCTACCCTTTCGTTCTGGGCTACCAAGGGCGTAGACTTGACCAGCCCGTTCGTAGAAAGAGGCCAGCTTGGCACCGAGGTAGGCAGGGAAACCCTGATCTGCCGGCATCTCTCCGAGACGTCCTGAGATTTCGCGGAGCGCCTCTGCCCACCGGGAAGTTGAGTCTGCCATCATCGCGACGTTTTTGCCTTGGTCACGGAAATACTCTGCGACAGTGATACCGGTGTAGATGGAGGCTTCTCGGGCAGCGACGGGCATGTTAGACGTGTTAGCAATGAGCGACGTGCGTTTCATGATAGGTTCCTTGCGTCCGTTGATATCTATCGAGAGCTGAAGCGGCATATTAGCATAAGCCTCTTGAATGCGACAGTGAGGAGCATACTTCAGGGAAATCCATCAGCACTTCCGCCATCTCATTTCCTCGTTCTCCGCACCCGACGTAGATGATGATATCGCTGTTAGAGAACTTCGACACAGACTGGCTGATGACAGTCTTCCCGCAGCCAAAGGCCCCAGGAATGCAGACTGTGCCCCCTTGAACACTGGGGAACAGTGCGTCCAGCACGCGCTGTCCGACGATGAAAGGCGAATCGGATGGGAGCTTCTCGCTGACAGGTCTGGGTACTCGAACAGGCCACGTGTGCATCATGGTGTAATCAGACTTCTTCCCATCAAATTCCAACTCAAGCACCTTCTCATCCACGGTATAGCTTCCCTCTTCGGCAATGTGAGTGATTGTACCCCTCGCCCGCGGAGGCAGTAGGATTTTGTGGTCATCGAGAAGACTGTTTTCGTAGACGCTACCAAAGATATCACCCCCAGTGATGTGGTCGCCCACTTTCTTGTCTCCTGGTGTAAAGTCCCACTTGCGGTCTCTGCTCAGGGAAGGCACGGCAATGCCGCGAGGTATGTAAATGGAATCGGAGACTTCGGAGATCTGTTTAAGAGGGCGTTGAATTCCGTCGTATATAGTCTCCATCAATCCTGGGCCGAGCTCGACAGATAGAGGCTTGCCCGTCCGTACGACTGGGTCTCCCACCGTCACTCCAGCTGCATGATCACCAACTTAGCCCGCAGTCCTAGCTCCAGGTAACATGTTTTGTCCCTACCAGTTTCCTCATACACCTGGACGGTTGCTTTGTCGGCTTCGATTCGAATGACCTCCCCGACTAGGCTGTCGTGACCGACGCGGACCTTAACGGGAGGTAAGACCTTTTAAGCTTGATCTCAGTATTGGACATGCACATACCAGCTCGTACATAGCACATCCAATCATGTTTTCCGCGACAATGACAGGCCTAGGTATATCAGACCGTATCCTCGCTGTTTTTTCTTGTAGCCACATACCCAGAGACGGAGAAGATAGAGCCTGAGCGAGTCTACAATTAGCACTGTCCAGCTCTTGTTTGCCGAGCACTCAGCTCCATTGCAAGCGTACCATATTGCTCTTCACCAGCCTCCTGCCTTGATCTCTTCGAGTCTTTCTTTGACTGCCGTTTGCCTGATTAGTTGGGTCACACGAGGCAATGGAAGTTGTGGAGCTTACAGGCGCCATTGTGAAGGAGGCAGAGCTTTCAGACGAACGGTTGTGCTGGGGCTTCTGCTCTGGACTTGGTGGAGTGGACAATGATGGGGAGGAATGTAAAGATGGCAGGCCGTCGGCTCCTTCCTCGACCGGCTGCTTCCAAGAGACAGGAGATGATGAAGGCAAGGCCAGAGGGTGCTTGTTGACAAGGTCCCAGAGTGAATTACGAGCTTTCAATCGAGGTCGAAGACCAAGCATGCAATCGCAGGGTAATTGGCTTAAAATAATGGAGCTTTGGTAGCCTAGCTTAGTCTAGGAGGTGCGGATTTTGGGCTGGTTTCAAGCATCTCAGCATCATCGATAAGGCCAAAAGCAAAAATCGCTAGACTAAGGCTTGCTTAATGCGTTTTGTGGGCAACCGTAGCTGCGAGATGCCCCTCGCCAAGATCCCCCGCCTGCATTGGCGAGTTTGGCGACATTGTCTACTTATTACGTACGAACGGTGCGATTCACCAGCAGAGCTGTTAAGAATGGCCCAATCCCACCAGATTGTTGAACGTATAAGTATAATGGGGAAGATACATCCCCCTTCAGAGATATTTTCCTCCATCGCCAGTCAACCACCAACATCGAGGACCCCAAAATCAAAGTCCCCAAGCACAACCCTTATACGTCTTGAGAATGAAGGTTCGCACGATAGACCCTAAAAGTCTGACTGACTTTAAACTGCTCGCCTTCGACTGCTTTGGCACATTGGTCGATTGGGAATGTGAGTGCGGCACCACAGTGCAGGACAGTCAGCAACTAAACAATGAGTGGATGAATAGCAGGAATTTATGATGAATTACACCCTCTGCTCGGCCGCCTACCAGCATCGAACCCCCTCAAAAAGGACCGTGTCTCACTTCTGAAACGCTTTGATGAGATCGAGGTTTCCATCTGCGCCTCCAAGCCCGACCTCAGATACCCTTCCCTCCTGTCAGAGGCTTACATCGGGCTTGCCGATGCCTTAGACCTTCCAGCTCCTACAAAGCCCGAAGCCGATGCCTTTGGCGCGTCGGTAGGCAAATGGCCCATCTTCCCAGATACAATAGAGGCGTTGAAGCAGCTCAAGAAACGCTACAAGCTGGTCATCCTCTCCAACGTGGACAAAAAGAGCTTTGCACAGGTCTTGAAAGGTGCCTTAGCCGGTATAGAGTTCGACGCAGTTTACGTGGCTGAGGACATTAGATCATACAAGCCTGACTTGAAGAATTTCCAGTACCTGATCACGCATGCCCGAGATGAGTTGGGTGTTCAGATGGAGCAAATCCTGATGACGGCGAAAGGGTTGAAGTCAGATCATGTGCCGGCGATGAAGATGGGGATGACCAGTGCCGTAAGCGTCCTTTCCGAGTTGTCGATTTGTTTTTATCTCTTGCATACCCTTGGTCAATTATTCAGATATGGTTGAGGAGGAGAGATGTGAGTCTTGTTCCTCGAACATATCCTTAGACTTAAGATTTCACCTAAGAAGCAAACATCTAACTGCGATTTGGCTTAGTGGATATCAAGAGGTGAAGGAAATGATGAGTTGAAGGCAGTTGAAGGGAAAGTAGCCTTTACTTGGAGATTTGATACCATGGGAGAGATGGCTGCTGCCGCCGAGAGAGAATTTGGCAAATAGCTAGAGGGGTTTTCTGGGCGCCCGTAAACAATGAGGTCTGCATGGAGCGCCAGCCCCCACATCGTCCTCGATGAGACAGGCTCGACAGGTTGCCCATGGTTGTCCCTTGGCTTTCGCCCTCGAGTTCCTCATAATTATTTATGATCCCCAAAGCGCGCAACTGCAGGACTGGACTCAAAACGGGCTTTGCTTGCAGCGCTTGGCGAAGTTTGCCAAGAGCGTTGAACGTGGTCACTGGTCAGCAGATTAAGATATCATTGGAATAAAGCAGACTCTGCCGCTATCAGACATGGGACAGAAATAAGTAGTTACCTACCTACCACCTTCTCATCTCCATAAATCGTGCCAAAAGCTCGGCATTTGGGTGGCTCGGTGCTTGCTATTGAGAGTATAAGTTGCATAGCGAACTCTCCAGACCTACTCGTAGGTATTGATATCTAAAATACAGTAGACAATGCATTAACGACTTGCTCTATTTTTCTATTTCTTATCATGCGTGACCGTAAATGGAACATCTGATGTGAGGTTCTGACGTACTTTACCCTCATCTGATTGGTGGATTTTCCGTGAATGCCTGGGTCGGCATAACACGCGGCGGTTCTTAGGCTTCATCCAGATCTGTAACAAATGATCACCACCACACTTTACACCCCTCACATACTAAAGGCTCCACGCATAAAACAAGGCACGAGCTGCTGAATTTCAACCTTGAACCTTTCTACCCACCTCCAACATCCGCCAAGGCTTGCAAGTCTCCGTCTGCTTGCGTTCGAGCGGCAGCTCACTCTTAGTTTTTAGGAAACCTACCCCTCCGCCTACCTCTCCAGGGCCCCTCGACAACCCCCTGCAGGCAGTCACGACTTTGGCTGGACTCTACGCTCGAAAGAGTTTTTTGAACAAGTTCCTTTGCTTAATAAAGCGTGGGACACTGGAGGATTAGGCTACCGGACGGTTCCAAAGCAATTGAGACATCTTGGGGCAATCCTCGTGTGCAAGACTTTGGGAGCTCTGAGTTCTGAGCCTCAGTCAAGATCAGCGGTATTTCCGCGTTAGTCGTCCTGGCTGACGAAGCCCCCCATATCCATCGAGCCCCAATCGCTCCCGACCACCCAGCCGCCTCAACTTCCCCAGAACCTTCCCCTTTCACCGAGATCTCAGCCCAAGAAACCAGTCCTAGCCATTTAGACAACGACATACAACGAGGTTCCGGAGATATACAGCAACATACGAGACAAACCTCGACAGTAACGTCCGCGAATCTTCACATAACGAGCTCTGAAACCAATCCTCGACGGCGGCGAAGAAGTCCTTCAAATCATAGTGAAGACTCACGCTCCTCGTCGGAGCTATATCCTTCATTCACGAGCGAACAAAGGCAGGGAACAAGAAACGATCCGCAGCACAGTGGTTTACGGCCTGAGCGGGAAAGGCCGCCAGTGCCGAAACGCCGACGACTTATGAACAAAGCTATGCGTCTTGACCCCGACTCTACAAGCTCGAACGGTCCGCAACATCATGCCAACGGCTCATCGCCTACTTCCCAAAAGAATGGGATCTCCACCTCAGCGAATGGACACTCCTCCCCTACCAACGGCCACTCCTCTCCACATCAGAACGGCTTCTCAACATCGATAGCCAGATCCAAGAGCTCAAGTTTCTTTGGACATGACAGGGAAGAGGTCACACGGTTGCTGATACAGGGGCTCGGGGATCTGGGATATCACGGTGCTGCAAACAGGCTGATTCATGAGAGTGGATACGAAGTGGAAAGTCCTGCGGTGGCAGCTTTTCGGAACGCTATACTACAAGGGCAGTGGTCAGAAGCCGAGTCATTGCTATTTGGGGTGGATTCCGAAGCAGACGGTGGGGGTGTCAGCATAAGCAATGGGCACTCGCATCATTTTGGAGGTTTGAAACTTGCCGCGAATGCAAATCCGGATAGTATGAGGTTCAGCGTACGTGAGCAGAAGTATCTGGAGCTCTTGGAAAAGACGGAGACGACTACTGCAATAATGGTTCTAAGGCATGAGTTGCAGCCTCTCCGGCAAGATGTTGGCAGGCTTGATCATCTTTCGAGGTAGGCTTTTGGCCCCCATCAAATCGATTTCAGCCGGATCTCCTTTGCATAAATAGTAGCTGACCTTATAGTTTGATGGTCTGCCCTACGGTCGAAGATATGATGAGACAAGCTCACTGGCATGGCGCTCTCGGCAACTCACGGCAGACCCTCCTCCAAGAACTCTCTAGTACGGTTCTCTTGCATATCATGACAGTCATACGCTCATGAGGTTCTGCAGGGTCAATCTCGCCATCAGTGATGATACCGGAACATCGGCTAGCTGTTCTACTCGACCAAATAAAACAAAGCCAAATAGCAAAGTGTCTGTATCACAATCCCTCAACCTCGCCATCTCTATTCACCAATCACATGTGTGATCGGACACAATTTCCGCTTCAGACTGCTTTCGAACTGAACCAAAGTGATGGAGAAGTATATATTGTGGAGTTTTCTCACAATGGTCAAGGACTCGCCGCGAGCGGCGCGGATGGTGCGACCGTGATTTACGACACAAGCACTTTCCAAGTCCGACACACTCTTCGAGAGCACACCCGTCCTATCGTTTACCTTGCGTGGAGTCCAGATGACACCCGATTGATCACTTGTTCGCAAGACAATAAAGCCAGGGTATGGGACGCAAGTGTAGGGTCTCCTTGTGCATTAGTGTCCCCACGAAATCTGCTGACTTTCTTGCGGCAGACCGGAATGTGCCTCTTGCAAATCGATCATCACAATCAACCCGTATCCACGGCATGTTGGGCACCCGATGGCGAAACATTCGTCACCGGGTCGCTCGACAAACAATCCCAGCTTTGCCTTTGGACTCTGGACGGCCGTCCTTCATACAATTGGGCTATTGATTACAGGGTACAGGACTGTGCAATTTCTGCAGACGGCCAACGCATGGTCACAATATCTTCCGAGAGGCAGATATTTGTCTACAACTTTGTGACGCGGGAAGAAGAGTACAGCATCCTGTTGAGGACGAAAATGACTTGCCTTAGCATCAGTCGAGATTCGAGATATATGCTGGTCAACATGGCTGACAATGAGGTTCAATTGATAGACATTGAGAGTGCGGAAATCGTTCGAAGATTTCTCGGCCAGAAACAAGAACTTTTTGTGATACGGAGCACCTTTGGTGGCGCCGACGAAAATCTTATCATCAGTGGTAGTGAAGGTACATCCCAGCATCACTTGACGATTCTTTTCTGCCGATATTAATTCCATCATTAGATTCGAAGGTCTACATATGGCACAAAGAGAACGGCACTTTGATTGAGACTCTGGAAGGCCATACGAGAGGCTGTGTTAACGCCGTGGCATGGAACCCGGCAGATCCTTCAATGTTTGCCTCTGCGGGCGATGATATGATAGTTAGAATGTATGTGTTTCTCCTTTTATACTCTCCTTTTCGCCCACTCGTTCTAAAAACATCGACAGATGGTCGAAAGAAACAGCGCCAAGCCTTTCAAGACGGAAATCCAGCGCGCCTTCCTCTCATCGTGGCAGCCGTTACCTCTAAGCATGGTATGGGTAATATGGTATTTGTTTCCTTGCGGCATCATTTTGCATAGCAAAGCACAGCGTGGCATTTACCTGGCGAAGGATGGCCGTCTAATTTGGTAGCATGGGCGTGTCAGGAGTACACGCCGGTCAGGGGACATGGATAGACGAGGTAAAAATGGAAAGCATTCTGGACAGAGAAGATAGTATTAGTGCTCGATAAATCTATATATGTTAAATTGTATTATGATCAATTTCAACGTAAAGACTGGCGTAGAAAGGTGAATACCCACCAAGAGGGTAGGCTGACCTTGCCAAGCCCGAAAACAGTCTTGGGCCAAGCGCAAGTGACAGGGGTCTGCCGTATCAACAACGTCAAGCTTGTCGCGGAGAAAGATTCTCACAAGGACATTTACACTGCCCATATGCTGCTACTGTTTCTCCAATAACTTGGGAAACATACAAGAGACTCACCGTACCAGCCCAGACTGCCTACAAGTTTCAGCTACCATGGCCGCGCCCGCCGGCTACTCGTGAGCGCTCAAAGCTCCAAAAAGCTGTGGCCTAAGCTGATTCAGTATGCAGGATCAATGTCAACGACCCTCAGCTCATTACCCTCGTCAACAAATTGCAAGATGTCTTCACAACTGTTGGGGTATGTGATGACCTCAGGAGAAATCCTGGCCTGCGTCCGCTACGCAAAGGCTGACCTTGGTTGTCCGTGCAGGTCCAAAATCCGATAGACCTTCCCCAGATAGCGGTGGTGGGGTCACAATCGAGTGGCAAGAGTTCAGTATTGGAGAACATAGTGGGCAGGGACTTGTGAGCCCTCCTAGAAACTTGTTACCGACGGAGCTGATACCTGTGATGCAGCCTACCAAGAGGGACCGGCATTGTCACGAGACGACCACTCATCCTACAACTCATCAACAGAGCTCCTCCTGCCTCATCGCAAACGAACGGTGTGAATGGTACTTTGCAAACGTCAGACAAAGAATCCAATGTCGACGAGTGGGGCGAGTTCCTGCACATACCAGGCCAGAAGTTCTTCGACTTCAACAAGATCAGAGAAGAGATCGTAAAAGAGACGGACTCAAAGACAGGTCGAAATGCGGGCATATCACCTGCACCGATCAATCTACGAATATACTCTCCGAACGTCCTCACCCTGACCCTTGTGGATCTACCTGGTCTGACGAAGGTGCCGGTTGGGGATCAGCCAAGGGATATCGAGAAGCAGATTAAAGAGATGGTCTTGAAGCAAATACAGAAGCCAAATGCTATCATCCTGGCCGTCACAGCTGCGAATACAGATTTGGCCAACTCGGATGGTTTGAAGCTGGCAAGAGAAGTGGACCCAGAGGGTCAACGAACCATTGGCGTGCTTACGAAAGTTGATCTGATGGACGAGGGCACAGACGTTGTGGATATCTTGGCGGGAAGGATCATACCTCTGCGGCTAGGATACGTCCCCGTGGTGAACAGAGGGCAAAGGGATATCGCGAACAACAAGACTATTTCTTTCGCTCTAGACAACGAGAGGAATTTCTTCGACAACCACAGAGCATACAAAAACAAGGCTTCGTATTGTGGAACACCATACCTCGCGCGGAAATTGAACCTAGTAAGCCTTTGCAGAAGATTCCCGAAGTGTTTGCTGACTTGCCCAGATCCTTATGATGCACATCAAAAATACCCTGCCAGATATCAAATCTCGCATATCTTCATCCTTACAGAAATATACAACAGAATTAAGTCAGCTGGGCGACTCCATGCTCGGTAACAGCGCCAACATCGTCCTTCAGATAATCACAGAGTTTTGCAACGAATACCGGACCGTCTTAGATGGCAATAACCAGGAGTTATCAAGCATCGAGCTCTCAGGGGGTGCCAGGATCAGCTTCGTCTTCCATGAGCTGTACTCGAACGGAGTCAAAGCGGTAGACCCCTTCGATCAAGTCAAGGACATCGACATCCGAACCATCCTCTACAATTCCTCGGGTTCCTCACCGGCTCTTTTTGTCGGCACCACCGCGTTCGAGCTAATTGTCAAGCAGCAAATCAAGCGATTAGAGGATCCAAGCTTGAAGTGCGTTTCGCTGGTCTATGATGAGCTTGTCCGCATCCTCACAAATATACTACAAAAACCTATACTACGAAGATATCCCTCGCTGAAAGAGAAATTCCACGCCGTCGTCATATCATTTTTCAAGAAGGCGATCGATCCAACCAACAACCTCGTGAGAGATCTCGTCAACATGGAAGCATGCTATGTCAATACTGGCCACCCCGACTTCCTGACCGGCCATAAGGTAATAGAAACCCTTCATCCAGCACGCGATCCCAAGTCCCTTTTCCCTTCAACCGGAGCATTCAAGTCACGTTCCCCGAAGTCAAATTTTTGATCATCTCATTGTCCATCTCTACTATGTAATGTTATCTATGAATCTTACAAAACCCCGCAGGCCATGGCCATTGTCAACGATAGGCACAATGCTGCCAAGCCGACGCAGGTCGACCCCAAGACGGGAAGACCTCTCCCACCTGCCGTACCGCCGCGAGCAGCAAGCCCCTCGCTCGATCTGCCACAAAGTGACCAAGGAGGGTTTTTCGGAAGTTTTTTCGCCCCTAAGAACAAAAAAAAGATGGCTGCCATGGATTCGCCGCCGCCGCAATTAAAGGCCTCTGGGACGCTGTCCGAAAAGGAGGCAAACGAAGTTGAGGTCATAAGTGAGTACATAATATGCTAGGCACTGGCCTGCGCTGACGAAGATTTCAGAACTGCTCATCAACTCTTACTTCAATATTACACGGCGGACTATGATCGACATGGTGCCCAAAGCCATCATGTTGAAACTCGTACAGTGAGAATCTTCACTTCCCCTATTCGTCTTTCCCTAGCCACTAATAATTGGCCAGACACACCAAGGAAGAAATGCAACGGGAGCTGCTAGAAAACATGTACCGTACTAATGAGCTCGACGATCTGTTGAAGGAAAGCGACTACACGATCAGGAGGCGGAAGGAGTGCCTTCAGATGGTGGAGAGCTTGAGCAAGGCTAGTGAGATCGTGAGCCAGGTGCAATGAGGAACGAATAGAATACGTTGGTCTTCATTTCAGTGACATTAGCAGATCAGACTTGTCAGCATCCTTATTGTGTTGGGGTGCAACGGCATGATACCTTTGCATAGGCGTTATTATCCGTGTTCTCCAGAACTCGATCCGGACGATATTTTGGCTTTGTTACACACACAGATAGCAAGATGACTCGAGGCAATCAGAAGGGTATAGCACCGGTTCGAATCAAACTCCATTGCGCGTTTCCAACCGCCCCCTCATGTCTAACGGATCGTTGGAAGAAACATCATCCTTCTTGTTTCGCAAAGCCATCCGTCCTATCACTCCGTTAAGTTGGGCCCCATCCTATTACTATATCCCCTACTTCCCTCATCTACACATTCGCACACACTGATCACATCCGTCCGCCGATATCTCCGCTACCCCGTACTCTCAAACTACTTATCGTCGAGCATCCCTCGGATCTTTCAACGCTGGGTCCGAATCCTCCGAAATACGTCGGCGTACGATGGCAGTCGTCTTTTGGCTAGATGCGCATCTGCCTCGCGCTCGGTAAGTGACTCTTTTTTTTTTGTTTTTTTGGCTGGGGTTACAACACGTGAGAGGGAGTCGGCCCCCCTTCCGGCGTAGCTTTTGGGCACAGTGAGCGTGTGCATGAGGCCGCACTCGTTCAGATGAGAGGCAGCGCGCGTCGTCGTGTGGGGTAGGAGCCTGTGATGTGATGGGGTTGGGGTGGTTCCGTTGAGCCTGGGAAGGACCCGTTGGATCCTTTTGTCCCGGGACGGGTGGGATCTCTCCTCGGTGGGTTCGGTGACGGGGGCGGGGGCGGCATGTTTCCGGGTGCCGATGTTGCTGAGGCAGGAGCTTCGTTTTGGACGTTACGCTTGGAGGTGTTGGGGAGATGGTGGGGGATGGTGATGGATGCACTTTTTTGAGTCTTGATTTTGGCTTTGTTGGGGCTTTGTTTGGGTACGGGACTCGATGATTGTTGCTTTTGGGCTTGGCTGTGTTTGGTTACAGGAGTCAAGGATCGTTGCTCTAGGGCTTGGCGGGTGTGGATCGAACGGGATGGGGAAACTCATCGCTGTCGATCTGGGTGGTACAAAGGGTCGGCACAAAGGGAGTGAGTGCGTAATGGCATTGTTGCAGGGCGCAACAATGATGTCTCAGACTCTACTGGACTTTTCTTCTTTTCCCGTGGGAGACACTGCTTACAGTTTCTTCAACTCGAGATTCAGCAATTCTTCCCTCCCCAACATCACCCAGGTTCCATCCGAAATCCCGAACAGTACCCCTGGATATGTCAGCCACCATGGACACTTCACAAGCCCAAAATTGCATGCGCAATGTCCGACCAAGCTTGGGTACTTCGCACTCTTTCGAGGACGTACCGCTCAGCCCTCTGCTGGACGAGGGCCGGTCGTCTGATACGTCAAGCGGGTTCTTCCATGTGCCTCTGGAGCATGAAATCATCGCGTCTCGGAGTGTTTGGGATGATTCGGCTGGGTCTGATGAGCTCATCGACCAGCAAGGCATCACTTCGACAAGGCTCTCGGGGCAAGGCTCTTTGACTGAGGTTGACGATCAGTCGCAATGTTCCTCGGAGGCCGCGAGAGACCCAAAACAGGACGAACCTAGCCCAACGTCGGCAACCCTCAGCCTCCGTTCAGATACTGCGTATGCTTCAGACCCAATGACACCGAGGACTGCAAGCGCGGTGACCCTGGTGGAGATGCCAGTGGCCCTGGATACAATACCTGGACCTAATATCACCGTCAAGGAGGGATCTTTCTCTTCTCAATCTCCCAGAGACCAAAATTGGGGCTCTTCAGTATCCAAAGGCGATATTAGCGAGTCCTCGGAGTATAGTGACAGATCAACGGGACCGGCTGACCCCACAACATCAATCGCATCCGTCAAGGTCGTTGCGCACGCAACTTTCCCCCGGGTCGAGAGACCTGAATCTCCAACGCCCAGCTCGTTCCCCGCCTTCTTCGAGATCCCGATCCCCATCTTTCCCTTCCCGGCCGGCACAACGCGCTGCAACAACCGCAACTGCCCGATCAAGCACCGCCACGAGCAGGGCCCCTATCTCCACGGAGGAAAACTCCGCAGCAGGGAAGGCTCGGTTTTCGGCTCCAGCAATCCACCGCCGGAGATATGGTTCTTGTACGACATGTCGAGGGATGGAAACCTTCACGGCACGGGCAACGAGGCGTTCGCGCCGGTGGAGCTTTTTGTCAGGTATCATTTTGGCGAGACTGGTGGTGAGTATGTCCGCGGGTGCGATGAGGTTGGAGGAGGTTTACGACGGGGGGAGAAGCAGGGGAGAAAGAAGTCGCGGTTCTGGCGGTTTTGGGGTTGAGGTAGGTAAACGTTTTTATATAGTAGATCAAGCTAGATGATTTCAGTTGATTTAGACCATTTGTACAAAACCCTGATGTTCAACAACTTTCACACATGCCAATCAAAGCGTATGCCAGCTCGGGTCCCCAACATCTGTCTGTAGGCGAATGATGCTGGCAAAGACTTAGATTTCTGTCATGCAGTCCTAGAAAACTAAAAACCATTCCACCATTGGACCAGCGCCATTAGGAATCGAACCTACTACTGAATAAAGCCTCCGCGAAACAGTCCAGTTGAAGGGAAATGCCAAGGCATCGCTCGATTAGGTCTAGCGTCGGATATAGTACATCTCCAAATTACAGAGTGCTCACCCACACTACGAGACTACCTACTTCATCCACCTCCAACAATGACACGAAGTCCATTAAGTTCAATCGATTTGATTCGTTACGTACGTCAATGCTAAGCTCCGCAAGGGCCACTTGCGACTGTTCTAGGTCCTAGCTTGTCAATCCATCTAATGAAAGTACAAGACCTGGCTGATACTACACCTTGTTCTGGTCTGTTGGGTGTACCTAGCTTACGTACCGTTGGTCCTGAACCTCCTCGTGCTAACGTAACGTGCCATGCCGCTGCTTCAGTGTCATGGGAGGTCTGCGTTGTGAATACTCACCTGATTAGTCATTTGCTCAATACTTTGTCTTGATTGGTGCCGGCGTCATCCAGTTGAATGCCAGAGACGCAGGGTGATAAGCCATGTTGCGGCCGTATCACGCAGCCTTGCCAGCTTGACGTCAGTCCCGATCTGGGCTTCGAACGTCAAGTTCCCTTCCTTCTCCTTCACATACCGCTACATTATCGTATAAGTCTATGAAAGTTCGAAATTTCCACGCGCATAGTCGCTAGCTTTTGAGAGGGTAGAATCGCTTGATCTGCGCCGCGAAAACATGGGTCTGGAGATCTTGTATCCGAAACCCGGCAGCGCACAGCCTGATTCTTTTGTCGTCGAGTAAGCATCTCACTCACAGAAGATGCCTGTCTCCGGGCTGATAGCCCCTTCTTTATCCAGTATCATCGCGGTCCACGGACTTAATGGTGACGCTACGAACACCTGGAAGCACCCTAAAAACAACCATTTCTGGCTTCAGGACTCTCTACCGCTTGATGTCAAAGGGGCAAGAATCCTGAGTTATGGCTACAACGCAGACGTAGCGTTTGGTAACACTACTGTTAATGTGTGGGATCACGCCAAAAGCCTACTAGGTAGCTTGATCGATGAGCGCGAAACAGACGATGTAAGACACTATTACCCTTATCAGCTGCAAACGCAACTTCGATCCTCGCATATTGCATGGTGCATCGCTGATGCTATTCCTCTCGATGATGTAGGTATCCAAACGGCCTATCATCTTCATTGCGCATTCATTAGGGGGTATCATTGTCAAACAGGCTCTTGTTTGGGCACATAGGGAACCACAATACCAAGCAATAAAGGACCACACCCTTGGAATTGTGTTCTTTGGCACACCACACCGAGGGAGCGACAAGGCCAATTACGGGAGGATACTGGCCAATGTCGCCACAGGGGTTATGCACAAACCCAAATCAAGATTGATTGATGCTCTACAGAGCAATAGCGAGACATTGATGAAACTCACTTCAGAGTTCAAGTTCGAAGCCCCCAATATGGAGATCATAACTTTTTATGAAACTAGACCAATGGGTATTTTCTCGCGCCTCGTAAGTACGAGAGGTCTTGATTCCTCCGACTTCTGACTGACTGCTCTACCAGATTGTTGAGAAGCAATCCGCGCTTCTGGAATTAAGTCATGAAGACACTCAACCAGTGGATGCAAACCATCGGGACATGTGTAAATTCGACACGCGAAATGATGAGACTTACAAGAAGCTGGTGAAGAGGGTGAATCGGATGTTGAAAGGAAAGGACAAATCTTTGCCCGCTTCTGATTGTATGTGAGCAAGTTATCGACGAATCTATCGCTCAGAGGTCCATTGTATTGTCACCTCTTCCGCTCTAGTTGTCTGTCAACCCTCCGTTCATGTATCCTGTCGGTCAGCTGAAATACTCTCATCATTCACTGTACCTGTGTTCTATTCTGGGAGTAGTAGATTGGTGTAAATGGTGACTCTATGAATAGGTTCCACCCCAAAGCTCCGCAACAAGCATTTCGAGCTCCCTTTTGATGTTAGCCCCTATTTTACCGGCGGTAGTGATGTATGTGGCGAGCTTCGCGAAGGCTGTCTTCCGTTGGAGGATCCTCCTGCACAAAATATGCAACAGAGATTCGTTCTATACGGCCTCGGAGGGTCCGGCAAAACTCAAATGGCCTTGAAGTTTGCGAACGATTATAGAGAGAGGTATAACAGTGTTAGGGCACTGCTCTGCAAATGTCATCTCTTGTCGTAGCTCTGCTGATCTATATTCAGGTTTTGGGGGGTCTTCTTCATCGATACCAGCAGTGTCGACATAGCTCGACAAGCATTTTCGAAAATGGCCCGAGTATGCAAAGTAGGGGAAGGGATGGAAGACTTCAGAAGATGCCTAACCAATTCGCTGGAACCTTGGCTGTTGATACTGGACAATGCTGATGATCCATCACTAAACATCTCCCAATTCTTCCCCGTAGGTAATAGGGGTACCATCATCGTCACAAGTCGAAATCCTGATTGCAGATGTCATGCTACCGTTGGATCAAGAGAGCTGCGTGAAATGGAAAGCGATGAGGCTATTACTCTCCTGTTGAGATCGGGCGATCTTCTCAGCGAGAACGAGGATCTGCGAAGCATTGCCCTACCCATCGTCCAAACACTAGGATACCTAGCCCTCGCTGTGAGCCATGCTGGGGCTTCTATTCGACAAAGAATTTGCTCTCTAGAGGATTATCTTGACAACTATGCGCGCCGTCGCAAGAAGCTACTGAGCAGTCGCCCAGTACAGGCGGACTCAGATTATGAGTATACCGTCTATACAACGTGGGAGATATCAGTGGACTCCATAAAAGAGCTGTCGAACAATGCAACGGATAGCACTGCGGCCAATGCCCTCGAATTTCTGACTCTTTTTGGCTTTTGCCATTTTGATGACATTACGGAAGACATGTTTAGATCCGCATGGAACGAGTTTGGCCGTACCGAGGGGTATACGTGGTGGGCTTCCAACTTGCCTGGTATGGTTCGAGATCGTCGGCTCTTGGAATGGGACTCCATACGATTCAATGAGTCCATGCGACTTCTGTCGAGCTATTCGCTCATATATGTCAGCGGACCAAACAATCGTATATCGCTACATCCTCTAGTGCACTCATGGATTCGGGACTCCCTAAATGAAGAAGTGCATTTCAGATGGTGGAATATCACCGTATCGACACTGGCACTGGCAGCAGACGTTTCCTCCCCTCTCGCGCAAATGCAATTAAGTGTTCATTTGCGCCATTGTATAGACATTGGGCAAGTTGATGATCTCTTCGTAGAGGATGACGTCCTCTTGGATAGGGTACAAATACTTTCCTTGATCATCTCTGTATACGAATTTTGCCCAGGGAAAGATACCTTGACGCTTTCAGAGCGAGCTCTCGAATACAGCAGAAAATTCCTCGGTGATGAATGCTACTCTACATGCCTACTGTCTCTTCGACTCTCGCAGATTTTCCTTTATTTGCGTGAGTACCAGAAAGCTTCGGACCTACTCCAGAGTACGCTAGATGTAAGCATTCGGATACTCGGCCCAGCAACAGATTTGACCTTGGGTATCATGCGTGAACTCGCTTGGGCATATACAGAGTTGGGTCGGAAGCAGGAAGCTCTAGAGCTTGCTGAGAAGAAATTGGCAATCTGCGAGAAGTCGCTAGAGGGGAGAGATGTCCACACTCTATTAGCTTTGTGTGATGTTGCAATGGTGTATAGTGAATTGGGCCGATATAGGGAAGCTGTGGATTTGTTAGAGAATGCGATTGCAAAGAGAGCTGAGATGGCCAACGAAGACATTACGACAATGCTACAGTTAGAACTTCTTCTGGCAATTACGTATGACAGGTCAGGACGACATGAGGCCGCTTTGGAGATGTTTCAGAATAACCTAAAGGAGCAGTTTATCCTTCTCGGCGATGACCATCCTTATACCCTCCATACAATGGCTTATATCGGTGTCCAATATGGAACAATTGGTCAGCCAGAGGAAGGGATACCGCTCATGATCAAGGCACTAGAGGTCGGGCAAGGAAGAATGCCAGACGATTGGCTAGAAACACAGAAAGAAGCTCTCAAGTGGCTGCAATACAAGAGCGCACAGCTACAATCTGAAAGCGCAAATACCTCGACGGCCGTACCCGAAATGCTAGTCGAGCCCCAGGAACTACCACATCGGGAGGGTGAAGAGATCTCGAGCAGAAAGGGGTGGAGGCTCTGGCCGAAAACTCGACGCCGCATAGGCGAATCTTCTTCATGAAGGAATCGACTGCAACGAAACTAACCGGCTCCTGGCGTCACTATTCCGAGATCTTTCGTCGCCTCGCGCGAGAAGCCATCCCGGCCATTGATGAGTCGTGCCAGGATGCAGCTTTCACGTCCGGACAGACCAAGATCGCGCCTGCGAACACGACGCAACCGGTCTACGTTTTCGAACACGCATTCATTTGAGATCCTGGTGAGACGCTGGTAGGATTGGTTGCTCGGTTCTTGCGCGGGCTTGTTGCTCTGTTCTTGTATTACTGTCGCCGGAGTCTACGGGTGCTTTTCTTTAATGCTATTATAAAAACTTCTAAGCGAATGGACTATGCGCTGGCTGAGCGTGTCTGTCTGTCTGTCTGTCCTATGTTCATGCGAAAGCTTCTAGCACCAAAACATCCCAAGCCTTTCCGCATCGCCATCATGTGCGCACACTGCAAAGAATCCGAATGTAGCATTCTCACCCACAGGTTAGGCTCTCGAAGCCACAAACACCACTAAGCCCCACCGGTTTCGATGATGAACATGGACGAAGCCTCCATGTAACAAAACCTACGACATGCTCTCGCTCGACTCTCGAGAGTCCATCTCACATGCAGCAGCATTGGACAACTCAACGGGTTGCATTATTCCCTTGGTCTCACTATCTGAATGGCTACAACACAGTCTATTACCCGAACTCCTTCGTCGCTATCCAACCGTGCTATCCTATCCACTCCAGATCCCAAGGCTAAGGAACCCCCAACATGCACGTAGAAGTTTCTCCGCTCAGTCATAAGAATCGCAGCAGCCGCGCTAATCTCGTGTCTGAATGAATCAAATATTGTGAGTGAGTCTCCGAGCCGTCTGCGCTATATCTATCAAGCAGACGCAAAGTATCTTTTTGCCTATAGTCATCGTTCTGAGGCAATACTTCGCACTGCCCATGCTGCTGTTTCCGATTTTCCGCTTCTGCGAGGTCGATGTCCGCGGCGTCTGTGGTGCCAAATGTGGTTTCGCTGGTCCGATTTGAGGTGTGAGGGACGATTTGATTGATCATGTAGGTGCAGTCTGTTGCCGCGGCGGGCTCCAGGTGGATTTAAACAGTCCACTTGATCTCCGCGCTCCACACCAGAGATCTTAGAAAAAAACCTCTCAACTCTACTGGTATCCCGTTTGAAAAAATCGATTGCTGGCTGCGAATGGGTGCGCGTGATATCCGCAGCTATCCCGCCCGTCTCCGCCAAAGACTGTATAGACAGCGTACCGGATGTGGTGGTGTGGTGAGTGTGAAGGAGCTTTTCGTTGTAATGTTGCTGGTCGCTGTGGTGGGTAGGCTCCGCCTTGGCGTGTTGAAGGGCTGTCTGGAAATGAGGGAAAGGAGTGAGAAGGGGATGATGCGCTGGAAGAGGGCTGAGGTCATCGTGGTGAGTGAGAGTGATTGGCTTTGACAGGGGATGCATTAGACGGGCCTTGATTCAGTATAGCGATGATCACTACTATTGACCGCGAATGTTGCAGCTGGTTAGACTTGAAGACCCAGTAGGTGCTGAAAAGAAAAAGAGCTTGCAGTGTAAGTGCTAGACGTCTCTGCCGGCGGCGCTCGCGGCAAGTATGAAACTGAATTGCGCGCTCACGGTGGTGGCGACCCAGTCAAAGATTAAAGGACTGCATAGATAGTAGTAGAACATAGAAGATACGAAGGTGGGACGACTCTCATTACACTAAGCGCAAGTCAAGCCTGAGAAACGCCTCGGATTTTCATCTAAAGTTCACTGTGTCGATATTGAAGGTGTCGCTATCATCGACCATCAGTGCAAACGCCTAGATCATTCAGACTTTGACCCAGTCGTCCTTCTCTTCCCCGTCAAACCCAAGCTCCACCCAACCCTCCACGTCCAGCACGGCTTCCCCCTTTGACTCGCCCGGTGAATCAGCCTGTGCGAGCGCATTTTCGGCCTTTCTATCAGAGTTTGAATTCAACATGTGGTGGTGTGGCGGGTGAAATGCTGGCGGAGGCGGATATGCTAGCCGGGGCATAGTTGCGCGGGTCGATATTGAGGTCTCAGCAGCTGCTGTTGATGTAGCGGACGCCCGGATCAGAGCACCTGATGCCAGACTGACTTTGGGAGGTGCTGAGCTCGGGATCGGTGTTGTTTGCGCCGGTGTTAAGGCGGGTTTCACAACTCGAAGAGTTTGTAGAAAAGGGCATGCAGGTGAGCGTCGTACATGTTCATCAAGAGGATCATCACTGCATTCCCACTCTGAGAGTTTAAGGCCACAAGTGGAGCATGTAGTTAGGTCTCGGCGTTGAGAGTGTTGCTGTTGATGAAATCCAGCTTTGGCCATCGCTGAGGCATTAGGGGAGGTGTGTGGCCATGAGGTGTAGGAAACGACTCTCGTCAGGTATGATTCTGGGTTATTAGGCGGAATTGATGCTGTCTTGGGCGGAAGAAAGCTCGGTTTCTGCTGGTCCATTTTAGATGTGTGTTTCTCTTGTGTAATCGCTTGGATCGCTTGAACCAAGCAGCGAGCGCTATCAGCTGCTATTCTATGGCGCTAGGTAGCCTGAGGAAAGTGACGTGTATGAGGACCAGTTCAATTCACTGGGTTACACTTTTGAATTGGAGTTATTCTGTGAACTTGGTTGAAAGTACTGAGTCGGAGGAGAGAAAACAAGTTTACAAGGTGACGAGCAAACACCACAGACTGAGTGAGAGCTTTACCCGATTGGGTTAGCTCCCGTCAAAAGCTTGCCTGATGGAAGGGTGTTAATGTGTCAGAGGGGGGTGTCAGATGTCAATGTATCAGAAAGAGATGTTAACGTATCGCTGTGATGTGGTGCTACGGGTGCTGAAGCTGAACCATGCAGAGCATGTGATTTATCTATACATAAGAAACCTCGCTAGTATTCGAGCAAAGACTCAGAACTATATCTTTTAGTGTCCCGAGGCTTGAAGAAGAAAAACAGTTCTCTCAAAATGAAGCTGAGGTAACCTGAGTACTTAGCATACTCTCAAAGGCACCAAGCCTTCATTTTTCCTGCGTCGATTTGTTTTTGAATAAAGTTATGTTTCGGAGGGCGATATCATTGTTGGTGTGAAGTATCGACGGTAGTCACTCCCTCGGGCATGGGTTGGGGACGCCCGAGACGGGGGAAAGGAGACCCGAAGGCTCGCAGGAGACTGATACCATCAGGGTCACAGGGAGTATGAAGAGTCATCTGACCCTTTGGCTTATTGAGACTGCCCACCAAGTTTGATATGAGCTTGCAATATTTGGACTTAAGTATTCATTCCGTCGTTCTTGTCGATATCGCAAGACTGGAAAAATGAGAGACTGGAAGCTCAAAGGAAATACGGTTCAGGTATCCGAGTTTCAGTAAGCAACATGTATCTGCAGCTGACCTCGTCCAAAACATACAATCTGGAATTGCAACCAATGGACGAATAATGCAGGAATTGACTCCCGAATCTCAAAGTCAAGCAACGAGCTATATACATCTCCAAGCAACGCTATGAGTGGCCAAGTTAGGTAGGGAGGTTATGATACTGGTTTCGAACTGCTCCTCGCTTTTGCGGTCACAGCTCGAGAATCAAACACCCCTGAGGCGAACAATCAGTATTTTCTAGCAATTTAGCGGGGCAGTATGCATACCCTTGTCCCCAAAAGACTCTAACACCACAATCAACGAATGCTCGCATCCTATTATTCTTGCACGAGCAACCATCTGTTACTTGCGGGTCTCAAAAGTCTTGGGATACTCTAAGCCGGGGGATTTTTTTTGTGGATGTTGTCCGAACTGATCATCCGTCCTCGTTTGGCCAGCATCCCAATGGTTTGTGACCGGATTGTGAGGATGTATATTTCGTACCTAATCATCAACGCACTTCCTACGAAGGAAGTGTGGTTGATGCCAGAATCGTCTTAAATTTTAGGTTTGGAAAGAGTACCGCCTCCGACCAGGAACCTATTGTAAGATCTATGGTGGTGCTAAGACGAACGAGACGTCCGTCACAGGCCAGTCGGTGGAAGGCTTCTGCGCAGCAGCCATTTTCTGACCCATAAAGTTTAACTACTTTCCGAGTCCGTGTTGAATGTGCCAGTCCATGGATGCAATTGGATAAGCAGTAGCAACTTACAGCCGTGCTCAAACCTCATCCCATCTCATCTCCCACCCATTGTTTCTTCCTCACCCTTTACAGAAACACAACAACAGCGGCGATATCAGTAATACAAGCAACCTGAAGCAAAGAAAAGAGGAACTAAGACCCGAATGAACGTACCACCACAAAATTCTCAGCTTCAATTTTATCCTTTCCAACCCATCACTCACCGTCTCCGCTCCCCTCCCCCTTCTATCTCTCGTCTCCCCGATGCTGAACCTCGTCAAAATCGATGGACCACTTCTCAAGTGTTTCCAGCTCCTTGCTCCACACCCACCACTCCTGCATCTGCAAACTGAGTCTACGTCTACGCGCATCTGCACCTGCGGTACTGCCAAAATCTACCACAGTAGCCTCTTCGCCGTCGTCGATATCCGCGCGGCCCACGTTCTCAGGTCCGAAGTAGCGCTGGCTGGTGGCGGGGATCGGGTTGCGCGCCACGACGTCGCAGGATACGCGTGGAGGCGGGGAGAAGACGGGTGAGGTGGTGGACGGCAGGGATTCTGTAGAAGAAATCGAAGCCGTGTCTGCATTTGACTCGGAATGATGTGAAGGGGTCTGTGAGCGACAGCCTCTGCTTCGTTGAGCTTGCCGTCCATGGTGAAGATGGATTTCGGAGTTGTCAGCTTTAATACTTACGGCTGGGGTTGCTGGAATTGTTTCTTGGGAGATGTCCGGATGATGTCGGGAGTCGCGGAGACGGTCTCCATATCCATGCAGAATTACCTCTACCCGCATCGCAACGTCCTCTACCGCGGCGAGAGCACCCATACTTTCATCCTGTACAGCATCTGCGCCGCCATTAGCGCGTCTGCTCGTAGGAACTCGCCTAGCTCCAGCGGGGTATCGAGACCCAATCCCTTGATTCGAGGGGACACTGGGATAGTCTTCACCTGTGGGAATCCAGTGTGGCGCTGGTGAGCTGGCGTGACTCGATTACAGCGAGATGATATGGCTACGGCGGCCGCTGAGGGTTGCAAACCCCGGCCAGAATCACCAAAGTCAGTGTTGGTGTTGAAGCCAGGCGGAACCGCCTGCTGAAACAGCTGTCTTGCGGCCAAATCCAAGGTCGGAGAATCTCCGTCTGAGATTCGTGCGCGGGTAGCGAGGGGCCCGTGTGCATGATTGGCTTGTTCTTCATTTGGGTGAGCTTCTTCCGCATCCCGCGTAGTACAACGTTGTCCGGGGGTGAGACAGGCAGGGTGAGACAGGCAGGGTGAGACACTTTGGAGACGGGTTTCCTAAACCGATCCACCAAAGCCGTCTCCGCATCGACAGGACTTAGCCGCGCCAAGTCCCTCGGGCTCTGCAAAATTTCCGACTCTGGCGAACTCTTGGGCGTCGGCAGCTGAATCGTAAGTCGCGGACGACGGCCATGTTCGTCAGTAGCTTGCTCACTCGCCTGTCTACCGCTACTTCGACTGTCGGAGGAAGATTTGCTACGGTCGGAAAATGCCTGTCGAGGATCAGTTCTCATGAATGCTTGGTGTAGATTCGGTGGCGCTTGCCCGTATCCTGAGGCGTCGTTGCCACGTCTACGCAGGTGTGGCGTTGGGGGTGGTGGGTAGTGAGACATTTCTGAGATGTCTCGGGCTCTTGTCCGGTCAAAGTTGATGCTGATCACTGTTTTTGAGAACTCGAGTGGTCTGAAAGGTCGGATGATGAGTGAGGCTTGCGAGGTGTGAGGGAGGAGGAGCAATGGAGCGACGAAGAACAGTATTTAAGCAGGACAAGTTGGAGAGTTGGCTCACAATGAGCACAATAGGGAGTCGTTGTTCTAAACAAAGGAATGGTGATAATCCCTGTCACGTTGTAGCTCCCAGCACGAAGAGAACAGTACGTGCAAGTGTCGAGGTCAAGAGGTCGGAAATCTGACGATAAAGAGGAACGATGAGCTCCGTTGAAGTTAGCGGAAACTGCTTAGTATCATACATACATACATACATACATACATACATACATACATACATACATACATACATACATACATACATACATACATACATACATACATACATACATACATACATACATACATACATACATACAAGATGGATGGAAGATGGATGGGGGTTCGGAAATGGAGATTTGGAAGACCTCGCAAAGCGCAAAGTGTCTCTGTTCATCTAACGGAGGCGATAGGGAATTGTTCAGTCTGCACGATGAGCATGGGGATCGATGATTTTGTGTTCAATGGCTTCGGTGAAAGGAAATTGGGCAATATCAAAAAAGTGAATAAACTCCAAATGCGCTTCATCGTCACCCTCGATAGTCCCGCTTTGTTCCGTTGGCAGTTGGGAATTGTACTGGAAGGACACCGTTGTACCACATCTAGTGCGCCTTGTTTGAACTCTTGATTAGTTTTGGTTGGCTTGGGGCCGTTTTACGGCGGTGATTTGGTACCCAAGCTCGTTTTGCAGTTCTTTGATGTTACTGTACACTCGGTCCTGAAAGTTCAAAAATAGTAGATTGACAAAGGCGAAGAGAAAGAGGCGAAGCTGAATTGGATAAGCAGTATATTCAGACAATATCGTCCTATCCTACAAGGCTTCAACTAACAACAAAACCAGGCAGGAATGCAACAAGGTCAGAGAACATGCTGTACAAGATGCGAGAAGAGCTAAATGAGAGTAGGTGCTATTGAGTCGCAGGCTTGGTGCTCGCTTGCGCCCCAAGTTGTAGTCAAAGCGTGACAAGCTCAAGACACCCCATTCATGACACCTGGATTTGGCGAACCCATCGGTGTGGACTTCTTTGGCGATCGCAAGGTCAGAGGGAAGGGATAGTCATCTGGGTCTTCCTCTTCACTATGAATATCGTTAGCGGTGACTTCGGAAATGGAACCTATGAGACAGAAAGACTGGGCTTACGGCAATTTCCACGCGATGTAATCCTCGGTACTCAAGCCTTCCCGGCCTTCTTGCAGCGATGCAAAGTCACCGGGCGTCATCATGCCAGACCGGTTTCTTGGTGATCCTGGGACGGATAACGGCCGGCTAAGCTTAGGCTCTGTAGCATCGAACATGCCTGCCTCGTCATAGTCGTCGTCAAATGAAGCTGGGTATGCTCTCCTCAAAGCCAGTTGCCGAGCCTTCACATATTCCATACCCATTCTCTTCCAGTCCAGAAGATCGCTCAAGCGCTCTGTCCGATTCCTCTGGTTGATACGTTGTCTCTTACTCTTGGAAGCAAAGTCAAACATATAACTCGCAAGCTGATTGACGGAATCGTCAATGCCCTTCATTCGGCGATCAACAATGTAGATTCCATAATCGGATGCGTTCTCAATGAGCTCCTCCATGTAACATCCGAAGCCAGAGAGATTTGTGGTGATGCTCGGAACACCCATGACGGTACATTCGGCTGGCGTATAGCCCCATGGCTCATAGTAGGATGGGAAAATCCCCATATGCGTGCCGCGGACGAAATCATCGTAGTCGAGGGGTAGGACAGGATTGGCAGAGTTGAGGAATTCCGGGTGGAAAATGACCTTTACGCGGTCAGACGGGTGGTTGAACAGCTGCACTCGGCGTATCTGGTTCAGGATTGGATCATCAGCGTCGTTGGCCATGTTGTGCGTGACGACTGGTGGCAGCGTATTTCGCTTCATCGCGAAGAGTCGTCGTCGAAGCATGACCCGGTCAGCGCTCGTCAGCAGGTCCTTGTGCTCGGGCACATCTTCTCCCTCGTGCCACTGGAGCGATCGATCAAACAGCCTCTTTCCCACTTCTCGCTCGATGACTCCCACGGTATCTCGCAATGACTTGATGACTGCCTGGCCTTTCAAAGCCTCCACTGTCAAGGATGTTGTTTTTGCTGGCATGATGATGAACGCAACCACGGTCATTTTAGACCCTGAGCTCTTCAAGCTATGGTTCAGTCGCGCCAGAGATTCGATGAACATATCCACCCCTTTGTTTCTGTATTCATACCGCCCTGCCGTGAAGAAATATAGCGTATTGTCCGGCTCGAAGTCGTTGTGGCCATAGAAGTGTCCACGTACGAAGTCATGAATCTTCTCTTTTGATTGTTGATGCAGATTCTGGAACTCGTGCATGGCGGAGAATTTCTTCACGTTCAAGCCATTGGGCAGTACTCCATCAGGCTTCCGCTTCAGCAGATGCTCGCTTTCGTAAGCCGTGATGTGGGAGACGGTGGTAAAAACGTCGGTAGCGTGTGCTGCGGCTCGTTCGATGCAACATCTGTGGTATATACCGCGCTTTCCAGCTTCTGCATCCACATCAAAGTACTGGAGGTTATTGTAAAAGTCGACCGACCCAGCGCAAAGATATCTTCCGAGAAGGGTAGCGTGTGTGGTGAAGATGGTGGTCACGTCTATTCTCCGTTTTTTCGTCAAGGGAAGAGCCACTCCCGCGAGCCATTCGTGAAAATGGGCGATGATAGCTCGCTTGCGCTCATGAGATACAAACTGGTACCAAGTCAGCATTCGACAGTGGTCTTACTCGAAGAGCCATACCTCGCCAAGGAACCAAGCTACGAGGTATCCGAAGACCACTGCTTCATTCGTCTCGTCATCTCCAGGAGGCGAAGGTATACCAGCCGTATGCCACAGATCTGCCTTCCACTCATCAAGCCATCGGTAGCCCGTTTTTGTATCGATAAGCAGGATGCGTGGTGCACCCTCAATCAGCCATCTGCCGTAGACCAATCCAATGCCCCTAGCCTGCATGTTTGTTATGGTCTCGGCGAGTTCGGGATTCGTAGGGGTGAGGGGCTCGACTTCGACCGCAGCTGAAGCACGATTGAGAGGGCCGATGAGAGTGTATCGATCGCCATATTCGGCAGTGGTGACAGGGGCTTTTGATTTGATCACGGAGTAGATGCCTCCGACTCGATTGGCGGCCTCGGTAGAAACCTCGAAAAGCATATGATCCCGGATGTCTCGTCCAGTGGATTCTGCATTTGCTAGGACTTTGTCCTCAATGGACCCATTCATAGGTACCGTCGACATGGTGTTGAAGGGCCCGCAGCTCCGATACTCGAGCGGTAGGCGATTACTGGGCGGAGAGAAGGTGGGTCTGGATGTTGGGAATGTGGCACGGTGGGCTTTCTATAATTGGTTTCCAGTGGTCAGCAAATCAGCTTTGGGGACTTGATTTCAAGGATTGTGGTGGCATTGACGCGCTGAATAGCTTCCCCGCATTGTTTGGAAGGAAGTCTGTGTGAGACGTACCAACTCGATTGCAGCATCCCAAGGAAAGAAAGCGAAAGACAAGTGTGGGCAAAGGATGCATACGGTGAAGGCCAAGGATACCTGCTATGTAGCTGATTGGGATAGATAGTGTTGTGGATGAAGAGTGGATGTCGGCGAAGAGAATATGGTTCTTTGGGCGTCTGCTAGCGGACAGGGATGCCAAGAAATAGGGCCGAGTGCGGAGATGACTTTTGGATTTCTTCGTTCTACACCTTTCCACTACGATCCAACATCTATTCAATTTCTGAACAAACAGCAAAGTATTTCGTGGTTGAACATTCATCTTCGAATTTATTGTTTGTATGGGAACTTGCTTCTTCCATCGTCGAGGCCGACGTCATATGCTGGGGCAAATCCCACGTTACGTCTACCCCGCTCGCATGACCCACCAACCGCCATGTTTAAGCATCGGTCCGACTCTCCACGCCATGCTATTGATCATGGCCTTTTCACCCTACGCATAAAAATGAGGCTCTGTCTACTATATCAGATGGATGCTTAGAGCAGAGACTATGCGCAAAGACTCCAGAGATTCAATGACAACGCCCAATGCCTGGATCTACAACATACCTACCATTGCTGTCAGCGGAGGCTGCCTCAAAAAGTAGAATCCATTAAAGCCACTACAGTCTACGACTGAGGACGAGGAAGGACAGACGACTACTTGAACAATATTCAACAAATGCAACCTTCCACCTTTGCTGCTTTCCTTTAGTCGTGAGGCTAATTTTCATCTCAAGGGCACGCTGGTAATGAAGCATAAAAGAATGTTCGCTCAGCGAGGAGACCGTTCCCTCATCTTGATACATCTACTATGGACGCGAATCTTTGTGTCTTATCGTATCAATCTTGTGCTAATCTTGGGCCGCCTTCTCCAATGCAGCAATGCTCCAATCACTGGGACATGGGCACGTACTTCTAGACTCACCAAGCGAACTCAGTAACCGCCAACCCAGCCGCGGTCATCAATCGTAGCACCTTCCTATCGCTGCCTCCATTAACAAATCGTACGCAGATGGAATCCCCTGTCGGTTTGGTACTTCTCCATCTCGCCTGCTTCAGCTCAAAACCGCGCTTGACGTCCCAAATTATAACGCGAGCGTCGTCTGTAACGGCAGCAACGAGATCGCCATGAACGTCGAATCCGGTTGCCAGATGTCCAAGGTCGGAGTTTTCGTAGGAGGGGAACCGATTGTAAGGTCGTGTTACTTGGCCAGAGGTCGCGAGATCAGATGGAAAGCGCAGATCCTAAGTACATAGCTTGAGAGGTCAGCAAATCCGAGAACTACCTGCGATAGAAATTCTTACCTGACTGTCCAGTCCTGCAACCACTATCGTGATCTCATCGATTCTCCTCGCATGGTTGATCTGGCTTGCATGCTGAATGCGACTTTCCCGACTTTCCCCGTGACTTCTGATGTCCCACAGCCGCACTCCGCCGTCTTTACAACCCTTTATTACAACGTTCGGGGATAGCCAATCCACAGCCATCACTTCCGGTGCGCCAAGACACCGTTCGCCGATTTCAGTGGTCCAGCGCCCCTGGCTTTCGTTCAGGATGACGGCACCGGTGGATGTTGCAATGGCAAAGCTCGTCACCCCAGAGTAAGGATTCGCAGTGGACGCCCAGTACAATATAGCTGGGCTATGCGTCAAGACCCCTCCTAGTCTGTGCACTTTTCCGAATACGCCGGCATGCTCCCCAGCGACACTGTCAAGATCCACGCAACAGGCTGAACAGTTTCCACCAAGCATGGTGACGCTGTGGCCAGTCAATCAATCACTGATAGAGCCACCTGCGACTGGTTATACTGGCAGAAGGAGTCGAGAGGATGATAGACTCAATGAGCTTATCTTCACATAGTAAGCGTCTGAATCAACAACGTTAGGAATGTGTCACTGACCTGAGACGCTGGAGGGCGCCAAGCTTGATTGGGGTGGCTATCTCTAGAATCCTTGACAAATCCTCTGCCCAATACAAGAAGGGGGTCAGTTTAACAGGGACAGTGTCCTGCAAAAGAATTGGCGGCTTACATCTCAGCCCTCCTAGCGAGTTCATCTTTGGCCTTCAACCCAAATATCGTTGCTTGTAGAGGCTCATCATAGATGAGATTGATGAATTCCATAGGCAACGCCGTCTCTTTCCGACGCCAGAGCACCCTGTTATCCAGACCCTGGCTCCAAGCATTGGACATGCCGATTTTGTTGTCAATGAGGCCCGATTCTCGTAGTAGACCGGCTTGGCCCCCCAGAGAGTGTGTAAGGACCTTCGATCTACGGATAAAGGTTTTCTCGCTTGCCATGACGACGGCTAACAACAAAACCAAGCAGGTAGAAAAGATGAAACGATGCAGCTGTACCTAGCTTTTTCAGCAGTGGTATGAGGTCGGAATATGACGAAATTGGCGGTATTGCAAAAGTGGCATGTTTCTAGGATAACACATTTTGGCCGCATCCTTGCCCTCTGCCAAGCCTTATTGACCAATGAAACCCTCGTGATTATGTGCAATCCGACTTGTCGTCGGTCAGTCCCGAGCCTTTGAGGCGCTGCTCGGTGGGTTCCGCAGACCGTGCCACGTGTGAGCTCGTACCTTTCTACCTTCGGATTTGAAGTGGGTCAGCCTTTCGGCGGGCATACCAGCAGCATTCGACATATCTTTAGCCTATGGAACCAATAATATCTCTACTGACTGGGTTCAATGAGGGAATTTTTCGCACAGACATTGCTTCCTATCTTTCAACATTCCCGGTGATGCTGGTGTCAATGTATGCAATTAGCAATCCATTTCTAATGGTTTGGATGTGTACGAGACCGTGTTCAATGCCTCTAGTATGATCTCTGTATCGGAGAACTTGTTCTCATGCGGGCTACAGCATGACTACCTCAACTCGATCACCACAACTACGCGCGCGAGGACGTAAAACCCGATCGTCACCCATTGCAGGTCTGTGTTAAGCAAGACGAACTGGCCACGACACCATAGCTATCGAACTTGTGAAGCATACGGCCCCTTGCTCCTCATCACATTACTCTAAGTTATCGTCGCCGTGGGTCACGAGGTTTTTGCAGAAGAGAACCATCAAAGCCCACTTCCGGAAAACGATGGTGTCCGCAGCCCACTGTCCACTGTATTTCTTCGAACCACCCTGTGGGCTCTCTCCTATATGACAAATACGCACACAAGCAACGAGACTTTCTCGCGACATTTTCCCCATCAACCCCGTCCTCAATACAAGCTACAAGTCGCTCTCCACACAAATTAGACCACCTCACCCTAAGCTTAAAACTGGCCTCGCAACACGTGCCACGCCCGCATGTCCACACGGTGCTTCTGTATCCCCACACGCCTAGCGATTCATCACGACGCCCATGAAACCACGAGGGATGTTACTAATGAGTCGATACCTTAACCTTCCTCCGTGCTGCTGCACTCTGGAGTATGTATGGAACCAGAAAATACTGTCTTGCGTACGGATGGATGGATGGATGGACGACATCCGGCAGACAGACACTAGGCCGTCGCGGTGCTGCGATGGGTGTATGTGCGTATGTATGTATGTATATGTCTAAATATGAATACTCCCGTCCCTGGTACTGCTGGCCTTCGATCTTTTTTCAGTTGCGATTATCATACCACGATCAATCATCGCCTTAAGAGTCCACTCTGGTCTAGGCGTTCGTTCTTCGCGTTTGTGTATCTATGTGGTGAGTCCCCCCCCCTTTTTTTTTCTTTTTTCCCGTAATTCATCTCTCTCACACACATACCCCCTTCGCTTGCCTAACTCACATTCGCGCCTTTCCACTCTTATCGAGTGCATCTCGTTCGGTGCTATCCCCCCACGTCTGCCTCCGAGCGCGAATATTATATCTACCTACGTAAACAATTGCGGCAATGGTGCACTAAAAGCTTGGAATCTAGGAGACTGGAACTGGAACTGAGACTCGAAATGATATGAGTATATATCGAGCCCGAAAGTTTCCCTCGTCCCAGTATTCCAGTACCAACTAGCACGTAAGCAACCCCCTTCCCCCCCGCCCGTGAGGAGCGCTCTACGCCCGTGCACCGATCATGAACCCTCATGTATCCATACAAGATAGATAGACGTCCTGATTCTTTTCTTCGCAAACGGCACGGCACGGCTGTTGGGATTCCGATCGATTTTGCAACTTCGAGCCCCGAGGGCAGAGGAGGCGTTGTGCGTATCGGCGTTGGCGACGGCGACGGCGATTATGTGTCTGCGAGGTGAGAGCACGCATGCATAAGTCGGGGGGGGGGGTGTGAGATGGTTCAAGGAGCTGGCCGAGGATGAAAACGCCGGCTGCACTCGCATTCATCTGACGTAAGACGGCGAGTGTACGAGTCGAAAGAGGCAGCGCATGACGTGTGTTTTTTTGGTAATCGGTGCGGTGGGGACCAGATGCGGTGATCCGTTACGTTTTCGCGGAGTTTGAAAAGGTATCAACCGCTGACACTTCCTTCGTTCCACCTTGTTAACCCACACCCATTCAAACGAAGAAGCGCCTCACGAGCTTAAGACCACGAATAGATTCCGGCTAAAAAGACTGGAGCTGGAGAGTGGGTTTGACTTTCTACTACCCCAGAGGTAACACACAAAAACTCCCCCCCTTGATGCTCCCGCCGGACTCAGTCAGACCCGTCACCACCGTCGATCGACCAGCCCAAATCGTGCTTTGCGCCTGAGCCTCTCGTATCGGGTAGACCCATCTTGCAATGTCAGCATGCTTGCTGGCTGCCGTAGTCGTTTCGTTCCTGGCGAAGAAATAATCTTTCCCCCCAACCTACCTACTTAGACTACAGTCACGGCCAACGTGCTGTTGTGAGTGAGCAAAGTTTGATATGTTTGATGTTGAGATCCAGACGACAAGTTTGTAGGTAGGTAGATCATGGATGCGGCGTTGCGGAGACGAGGAGATTGAGGGGGCAGTTGCCACGAGAGTGGTTGGTGGCGATGTATTGTGTGTGTCGTTGCCAAAGGGGAGAGAAGGGCTGATGTTGCTCAGAGCCTGAAGGAGAAGATACTCTCTTACCGACAGAGAGGAGCTTACGGTGTTGTCATTAGTCTGTAGAGACGGGTATACGAGAAGAGTGTGCGAGCTGAGACGGGCTGCGTCCTGGCGAGACAAGTGATGCCTTTCTCTCTTTCTTCTAATCTGGGTCGTTTTTATCCATGTTATCCAGCGACTGTAAATCGGACATCGGGGAAGAGTCATCATTGTTGCATTTGTATATCCATAACTGCACGTTCCCGTCAGTGCTAGTGGAAAGGCACTCGTCGGTATGTAGGGTACACTTTGCATGAATGACAAAAATAGACCTAAGCCGCTCATCGCCCTTCAATTCTACCCGACTCGAGCCTTCAACCTCACCCTGACCGGCTTCTTCTGTATGGTACTGAAACACTTCAACGTCGTCCAATCCAAAATACTTCCCTGCACGGCCTCCATGTCAAACACCCAAATAAGCCGCGCGAGGATGAGCCACATTTCAAACACGGCTAGATTCTGCCCTATGCAGCGTCGAGGACCGAGGCTGAAAAGGAGCACGGCGGAAAGCTGGTCCGAGGCCCATTCCGCCAGGCAAAACGGGTGCGGCAGCCAGCGCTCCGGAACGAAGGATCTGGGCTGGTGGAAGCGTTGGGGTGAGTTGTATATTGTGTAGGGGTGGACGGAGATATGCGTGTGTAAGTATGACAGAGGCTTTGTTAGCAGTGACTGGGTGTACGTACGTACGCTGGGGGTGCTAAAAGGGATGATACATTGCCGAAAAGCCAATGCCCACAGACTGTGTCGGCCCCGATTGGCACGAGACAAGGCAAGCCTATGGATACCGGGGGCAGGGCCGCAGGCCTTTGGAGATGATGGCGCCAAGGTACGGCAGTCCTTGGACGAAATCCAGCGTGATATCTTCCTCTCCTTTGAACGCGCCTCGGATCTCCGAAACGAGTCTTTGCATCACACGAGGGGCTTAATAAGATAGTTTGTGATTCCAGATAGAGTCGTAGCGGTGGTTTAGCTGCCAGCAAGGATCAAATGGGAGAAGATTGACTGAATGTCCGGAAGACTCATTTCCTGCACGTCTGTATTCAGCTCGATGACGGGTGTTTCGAATTCACGACGCTGTTGCTCCAAGTTGAGGCGTCGACGGACCTTGTTGAGAGACAACTGATGATGATCCTGGACATTCTCTGGCAATTTCTTGGGGAGCAGTTTCATCGAAACCATTTCGACGAGAGGGCGGTATCGAGAGGGTAGTATCGAGTTGCCGCAGCGAACGAAAAGATTCTGATCGAATTGAAAATCATGAAGACCCAGCGATGATAGGCGCTGTCTTTGAGACAATCGAACGGCTCGCCAAACCCAAGGTCCCCAAAGATTGCGTGATTGAACCAATCCACCGTATTGACAGAGATACCAGAGGGCGCTGTTTGACGGAGACTTGACATAAGAAGATAGACGCATGACTGGATGATGCGTTCATGATGTCGGAGAGCCTTTTCTGTGAAGGGTCCCTTCAACAGACCACGCATACGAGCATGGTTTGTATGGTTAGACGTGGTTACGATTGATTCAGTAGTTTGTCCTGGTGGAGGCTTGTACCACACTAGGTTTTCAGCAAAAGGGGCTTGGCCTGACCGAATTGCATGTACGTGGTGCCAGGCGTCTGATATGGCAAAAGAGACTTCGTTTGGTGCTACGTGAAATGCGTCACCACATTACTCATGGATATTTCGGATATCTTGCGGCAGCTTTGCTTTTCTAAGCGAGACTATATGAGGTATCCGTGTCAGAGCCCATAGCTTCGGACCTGGGAATCTGGTGGGTTGGGAGAATAGGAGCCTGTTAATGGCGAGTTTGGGTAAGTACTATACATATTTCAGTAGACACTTTGAAGATTGGTAGCAAGTTTGGGAAACGAGGTGCCGTGCGTAGCTCGCACGCATGCGCTAACCATAAACAGCGTAAGAGGAAGGATCTAGAGGCTGTGAGTGTAGCTGGGTGCAAAGCTAGCTATAATCATCGCCATGGCTTCACAGCGTTCTCAAAGTCAAGATAGCTTGGGGCTAGTGGATAGGTGCAGGAAGTTTCAAGAAATTCGTTCACTCTCATATGAATAAAACTCCTAGTTTTGTGTCGACTCGTACCGTTGCTCATATATCAGTCATGCCCCGCACTTACGTTTTGCTCGAGTACCTTCCTCTTTAGGCCATTTGGAGGAAATGAGGTTCCATTCATGCAAGGGGACGGTTTGGGCTTTCGATTTCCCCGTCCAAGGACCCCACCAGAACCTTTCCAATAGCATCCCGAGGCAGGATTGGCACGGTCAAGGCTTTCTTCTATTCACCCTAGGAGACTGCATATCAAAATGGGTTCTTGTGCGAAAAACATCGACTCGGGCATCTCACAGACATAATCCATCGTGTGCGTAGATAATGCTACGTCGAAGCGACTGTGTTGGTGAGGCGGGAAGCCAAGCAAAGTGTCTAAAAGATTTCGACTTCCTGCGCACTAAGCCTCGACTGTCCTCTTATCATTTGTTTGTGCGTCTCAGCTATGGCTTATGGCCCCTTCTTTTCTATCATAGGGTACTCAGGCTGAAGATTGAACCCAAGGCGGATTGTTACACATCATCCGCATCCCACGATATGGCCGAAGCATGACTCTTCAGTATTGAGAGCCAATTCGAAAACACGAATGCATTTTTGTGGGAGTCGGCGGATTTCAACCTGTGCCATTCGCATGCACGGATTGTACTCTGAATGGACTCATGCTGCTCTCATCACTTGCAGGTGGCTTGCAGTAGTCTGGCCCTGAAGCACGTACAACACGTCGCGGTCGCGTGCGCGTGGTCATCTTCGCTGCAGTCCTTTTCGCCCCGCAGATCGACACTGCCCTTGATTCTTAAATGCTAATCTTTATGGTATTGCGACTGCGAGATTTCGGTGACTCGGTGGCGAAAGTGCATGGGAACGAAGCATGAAGTAGAATGCGATAAAGACAGCAGCTGGTGTGTGTGCTTGGCGAAAGGTTGTAGTAATCGTGCTGCAGCAAGTCAGGGCCGGGGCGAACTGACCGTATTCGTCAGTCCATTGGTAAATTGACCAGTCAATGAATGAGTGTGGGCGATTTGTAAGGAGACGGGACATCTTTGACTCGATCAGACTTACATCTCAATGCAGCTATACCCTTCGTAAATTGTAAGCACGGGTATGAATGCGTGAGTTGACGAAGATGATAAGAGCATGTGCAGTGAAATCGCTTCGAGGCAATATTTCTTCATCGATCTCCGAGAGGGTATCAAGATGGCGAAAAGCAAATGCTAGGCGGAAGGCTGGAAGGGTACAAAAAGCCATGCAAGGTGAATTCCGCCTCTGCTTGCATCAATTAGGACGGCGCGGAACTATCGGGACGGCGACCTCGGGGATTCCATCCTGGCCCGTAAGTCTCTAATCAGCGCCTTTGCCTCTTCCACCTCCACACCATCTTGACACAGCTCATTCGCTAGCTCCATAGCTCTTGCGAGACCGCCCCTAGCGAACTCCCATCGGGCAAGCCACATCCGCGCTTTCGAAGTTATATTAGTAACCCCAGTCCCTGGCCGTCTTATCTCGTCATCATCGTCCTCTCCAGGACCTTCTTCTTGTGCTAGAGTCATCTCCATATACGATGCGGCTTCATCTTGCTGCTCCAATTTCTCATGCACAAGGGCGATCTGATATAACATCTCAGGATCTAGGACTCCTTGAGGAGGTTCTCCATTGGTTGCACCGGAGCCGAAGGAGCTTCCTTGATCATAGTATGTACCAGCCACCAGCGCCCTCTTATAAGCTTTGATACTTTGGATTGGCCTGTCAACCTTATCGTAGCAGCTAGCGACCGCATGCCACATTTTAGGATCGTAGGGTCGAAGACTTGCTGCGCGTTGATAGTAGAACAGTGCGTAGAGATGCATCTCGAGTACTTCGTAAGTCTGGCCGAGTCCATACCAGGCTCGATAATCTTTTCGATTGACGTCTACTGCGCGCCTATAGCTTTCGATCGCAGCGTGTGTGTTTTTCATCTCCACGTATTCATGACCCATCAATGTCCACGCTTGAAGGAAGTCCCGGTCCAAAGTTAGTGCACGGCGAAAGTACATGACCGCCTTTTCGTGCTCCGATTTGAGTGAGTAGTAGTTTCCCACGACACAGCAGGTCTCAGGTCTGAACTTGTCCGTTGCATTTGCAACCTGAGCCAGAAAGGCAAGCTTAGGTCTTGCGGACATGACGTAAAGTATGTTTGAGTAATGATCGAGAGCATCAATCCTATGAGGATCGGCATGTAACAAGGCCGAGAAAATGGACTCGGCTTCATCAAAGTCTTTGGAGTGGTAGAATAGCAGCGCTCGCTGTGTCTTTAGGAACTGGCTTTCAGGAAAGATCCTTTCTAGATCATTCAGTTGATTGTGCGTCGTCTCTGTTGATTGATAGAGTTCTTGGCTTGCATAGAGATGGAAGACCAAGGTCATGAGATTCTGCGGCAACTCTCGGACAATGCTCTGAAGTTCCTCGAACCGGTTTAGTAACTCGTTCAGCTCGAGCCAAGCACCCCAATTGAATGGACATAGATGAACGCTTCTGATCAGCCAAGTCTTGGCATCTTCTTCCGTCTTTCCTTTGGCTAGAACGATGCCGTACAGGTACTCTAGCCACCCCTGATTGCCGCGCTCCAGGCCTTTGGCCGCTCGGTCTGCAAACCAGCCCTCAAGGCTCCGCGCCAAACCCACAAGTTCTTTGTTGACCGTCCCGCCCCCATCGGCTGGTCCAAGTATCGATTCGCTGTCCTCATTCTTTCGCTTTTCTCCGGACATGTATTTAGCGTACATTGACAGGAAAAGAGACTTCTGACTCAAACGAGGCAAAGCATTGCTTAGAGGTATTGAATCTGTTTTGGTATTTGGACTCGACTCTTTCGCTTTTCCCTTTGCTGCTTTTGTAGGCGTGCGGGTCTTGGCGTTGGGAGACGTAGGAGTCAATGGGCCTCGAGGTAGAATCGATGGTATGAAGACGGCAGCACAGCGGTCGTATTCTCGGCAGTCAAAGTACGACTTTGCCAATAGATATTTTGGCAATTCTTGCGCTTCAAGACGAGCCTCTTCGAGATTAGGGTTGGAGGAGAGCGATATAGGCAGTGACGGAGGTAGGTCCACATCTGACATTTGAGAATCAGGGTCTGAATTGAAAGAGGTAGAAGTTGAGAGGGGTTCTGGGAGTGAGTTGGAGAGTTCTGCAGCCCTGATAGCTAGTCAGAGCCAATCTAATAACTCTGAGGAGGAGAACCTAAGTCTACCATTTCGCTGACTGGTAGAGACAACGCTCTGAACACTTAACCACGGCTTCTTGCAGTGTTCTTCGCAGCTGCTCTGTGTTACTTCGGGCGAACTCTGCCATTGCGGCGCGACAGAATATACAAGAGGTTTTAAGAAGACAACCGAGGGATCTCAATCAAGTCTCATCTGATGGAGAACGTGAATTCCGCAATCGAAAAGGAATCCCACAAGATCACAACTCACAGGAAGAACATGCGTAGCTTCCTGATATTCATGATGTCGTAGACAGACAATGCACTCAATCCCAAGTCCAACCTGTTACTAATTCTTATTGTCGGCGAGCCCGCGTTGTTGACAAGCACGACAAGACTAAGCACGTCGGAGTTAATTGGGAGCTCTTCCGGCGCTAATGAAGCTATCCCTGCCGTCGATCAGGATCGCGAGCATCCGATGGGATCCGAGGGATCAAAAAGTCAACAAAGTCAACAAACTGCTTCTAAATTCCCCGCAATTCTTTCTTCAATCCATTGACTTTCGCAAAATGCCTTTTCTGGCGACTCCCCAAAACTTACAGCAAGCTACGGACGGTGAAGTGCCAATACCCACCACCATGTCCTCGTCCAACAAGCTCAAGGACTTTGAGGCCGTCTTCCCCAAGCTCCTCAAGGACCTCGAGGAGAATGCCAAACAATACAACATTCCAGAAGAGGCCTTAAGATGGTACTCAGACGTACGCTCCAAAAGTCCAACCCCTTCAACTCCGTCCTAAATCCATTGAAACTGTCTCCACATTGAATTGACCGCGAAGCTAATCCTTTCAACCCTCCAGTCACTCTACCACAATACCGTAGGCGGGAAATGCAACCGCGGCCTCTCCGTCCCAGACTCCACCTCCCTCCTCCTCTCCCGCCCCCTCGAAGAAACCGAATACTTCCTCACCGCAACCCTCGGTTGGCTCACCGAGCTCCTACAAGCCTTCTTCCTCGTCTCGGACGACATAATGGACTCCTCCATAACGCGCCGGGGCCAACCATGCTGGTACCGTAAGCCAGGCGTGGGTATGATTGCTATAAATGACGCCTTCATGCTCGAGATGTCAATATACGTACTGCTCAAGAAACATTTCCGGAGCCATCCAAGTTATGTGGATATCGTTGAACTCTTCCACACCACCACCTTCCAAACGGAGGTCGGCCAGCTCTGCGACCTGCTCACCGCGCCGGAAGACCACGTCGATCTCAACAACTTCACGCCCGAAAAACACCGCTTCATCGTCATCTACAAAACAGCCTACTACTCCTTCTACCTCCCCGTCGCCCTCGCCTTGCACTACCTCGAGCTCGCCACCCCGGAAAACCTGAAGCGGTGCGAAGACATACTCATCCCGCTCGGCGAATACTTCCAAATCCAAGACGACTACCTCGACGCCTACGGCTCTCCGGAGGCAATTGGCAAAATCGGGACGGATATCCAAGACAACAAGTGCAGCTGGATCATCAACCAGGCGCTGAAGAGGGCGAGTCCGGAGCAGAGGAAGGTGCTGGATGAGTGCTACGGGCGCAAGGATGCCAGGAAGGAGAGGAGGGTCAAGGAGGTGTTCGAGGACTTGAACTTGGAGCAGGTCTATTTGGATTACGAGCAAGATGTTGTGGGGAGGATTAGGAAGATGATCGAGGGGGTCGATGAGAGTAGCGGATTGAAGAGGAGTGTATTCGAAGGGTTTTTGGGGAAGATTTATGGGAGGAAGAAGTAACATCTCCCATGCGAGCAAGAGGGAAGAAAGACGCGCGACTTTAGAGGAGGAGCAATTCAACATGGCGATGTATGGCGGCCGCGTTTGTGCCGGACACGTATATATTTCACATTGATGCGTGCGATCTGCATCGGGGAAATTTTCCGATGGATAAAGACCAGATAAAGTACCTAGAATCATCAGATTTTGTACATGTACACCCCAAAGCCTAGAGCTTTCCATGAATCGTCTCGACGCCTTGCTATGCATCTCAGGTCCAGCGACAGCGGAATGAGTTCTGTAAGGAGCAAATTACAATCATAGAATGGAAGTGGTATAGTAGCACGCGCCGATGGAATGCAAGGTGTTCATCTGAAGGACAAAGCGCAGCAGCTCATCTCTTCTCCAGAACGTCAGCTTCCTGCTGCTTCTCCGTCGATTCATTGGTGGTTATGGGAGGTTCCCGAGGTGCTTTCGGCTGTTCGGCAACAGCTTTGACTTTCACAATGTCGACGAGGTGATCTCCAATATCGCCGGCGCCATCGATCTTGGAGATTCGCGACTTGAAGAATTCGGTGTCACGAAGCATCCTAGATGTTCAATCAGGATCAGTATTTTCAGATGGGATCGCAGAAAAGGTTGATGCGTACCGTTCTTTCCCAGCTACCGTTTTGACGTCCACATCGTGGAACGCCTTACCCCATTGCTCACGGTAGCTGCTGAACACCGGATCCATGATCATCCGCACTGTCATATCTGGCAAATGCTTGCTGAGCACTTTATGTAGCGTCGTCGTCTCCTTTACCAGAGTTTCCATGTACGGGCTCACAGCCTGGTCTGGTGATGACGAGTCCCAGTTGATCTTCCTCATAACATTGACATGCGTAGTAGCCCGTCCACTCATGATATCCACTAGCTTATCGTTGATGCCGCCTTGATGCTCTTGGTACAGTCGCTTGACCTTGTCGAATTCCACCATCAAGCTTCCAGCACCAGGGGAATGCCTTCGGACGAACTCTCGGACGTAGGGCGTCAGCGCGGTGACGAAGCTCAGAGCCTGAGATGCAAGGGCTAGGTGCTTCGTCGTGATGTTCTTCAAGCCTGCGCTTCTCGTTGCACCGGCTCCGAGGATGAGCTGCGAGGATCGTGAGTTGAAAAGCTTGAGGTATTCGAGAAGTGATGGGGTAAGCTCCTGTGTCATGCTCGGTATGCCAGTCATTAGCTGCTCAAATTGGCCGATGCCGTTCAGGACGATGAGGGCTGAATCAGGAAGAAGGAATCTTTGCTCGTCAATGATGGCCGGGCGTGTCTTGTCCTTCGGGGTAGAACCATTTGTCATAGCTCCGTTGGTTTGTTGATCGCCGTTTACACCGTGAGGTTCATCGCTCCATATCATCGAAGCTCTGACCCACGGCTCGATCTCTTTAGTGCCAGCTTCTATAATCTGAGATAATACTTGTGAATCAGAGTCATCAAAGTCTTTCGCGTCCCATCGGTCAGCATCCATGCCTGCTACAAGGTGTTGCCGCTCTGCGTCTGCCGCGTGGCGTACGTAGTCGACGATATGGGCGTTAACGACGGTCTTGAGCGCCATGCCTCCTCGTCCGGATACCGCCTCGCACTCGTCTGCAAAGAGCCTATTAAGATGGAAGTATCTTAGGAACTGTGGTAATGGAAGCCGTGTGCTTTGCTCTGACCGGACCTTGAGAATCTTTGTGATTTGAGTCTGAGCAATGTCCACGGCTTGGCCTAAGAGATTTGACATATCTAGTGTCTGCTGGATGTCTTCCTGTTGGGCTGTCTCAAGAGTCGCTAAATTGGTCGGAGTGGCGCCTATATAGCTATTCCAATCCGCGACTGGTGGACTCATAGGAGACCTTGGAGGCTTTGTTGCCGAAGCGCTGCTAAAGCTACTAGTAATGTCCAACACGACCTTGACCTGAGTCCCCAGTCTGCGCAAGGCTTCACCAACGTTCGAGTATATCTTCTTGAGCATAACCTCCGCATCCTCGGGCTCAAGAGCACGGAGATTCCTCGCTAAGAGACTAGACTTCTCTTGTTGTGTTAGATGTCTACCACCCTGAGTAGATGCCGACATTGTTGACTCGTTGTCGTCATCGCTAGAACTCGGCAGATGTCGTCGAATCAAAGTCTTAACCTCTTTCCAAACTGCCTCTCGGTAAGCGGCTGTTGCAGGCTTCACCGAGTCTGATTTGGCCAATCCATCAAGATTAGACAGGAGGACTGCGCGCAGCGACTCGTCAACTTGTAGGTAGGCCGGATATACGGATGGCGTCCTAGCGTGGGTGCCTCGAGATCTCTGGGAAGCCTTGTCCCATCTTTGAAAAGTAGCGTTTGAAGACACAGTGTCGACGTGTCTTCGCAGATCAGAGAGCAGAGCTTCCAGAAACCTTGCCTCGAAGCTTTTACCTATCCTTTCCCTTAAAGACGCAATCTCGGCACTGGCGCCGTCCAGAGCTTTAATGCCTCGCAGATCGACGAGGTTGCCTCCGCCAGGTGTAACTTCATTTGAGTCCGATGTTGTAGGCTCCGATCGCTCTCCTGCTATCAACCTCTCCACATTGGTCAATCCTCGCAAGGCTTCCTCGATGTTATCTTGGTCGACTTGGTCCTCACAGCGAGCTACGGCATCAACAACATCACGCAGTTGTTGGACAGCGTCGCCTAGCTTCCGAACATTTTCGCGGCGCCTTCGCATGGCAACGACTTTGAGACCTCCGACGGCCATACTTTTGTCCAACCTGGCCAGGTCTGCTCTCAGCGCCTGTATCTTGGCTACAGAAGCCGACGCTTCCATGTGCAAATCCCGTAGTGAGCCAAGGGCTGCAAAGAAGGATGTGGAAGCCGTAGAGATGGATGATATCAGATGAACCTCCACCGTATCCATATACCATGAGAGTTTCTCTTGCAGGATGGCATTGGATGCTAGCGCTTTCCTCCCGCCTGTCCCTGGCGTCGGTGAAGCTCCATTTGCCCCGGGGGGAGGACGTACGATTTCTGATCGTTCACTTACGATATCGAAAGTCCTAGGATTTTCCAGATGAAAGTTTGGGTCGAAGTAGACTTGGGGGACGGTGGATAATGGCGCCACTGGAAGCGGTCCTCGCCGCGAAATTCCTCCACTGCTCTTTCTCTTGGGCTGTGGCCTTTCTGGTATTGACCCAAGTGCTGCGAGTATATCCCCTGGTTTCTGAGCGCTAGATATACTTGCTTGTCGACTTTGATGACCCGGATTTAGAAAGCCTGACAGCTGCTCACTTTTTGAAGAAGCTCGGGAACTTCTGACTTGCGACGGCCCTGTACCTTCGCTCTCCTTTGCACGCTGAAATGCATCGTATAAGGACCCCGCTTGTTTGAGGTAGGGTAGGAACGACGAGGATTCGACGTGGGAAATGTTCGTTAGAGTGACCGGAGGGATGTCCTTGGCGGAAGGGAGCTTCTGTGCGCTGGGGCCTGAAGCATGCGATAGAAGACCTGTGCGAACAATCGGTGGCTGCAGAAGAGTTGCGATGGCTTCTCATAGCAGAGATCAGTATTTATTCGCAAACGTAACTAATCAAGAGTTGCACGAACCATTGTTGCCCGCCTCTGCTATGGAATCTCTACTCTGTGTCGCCGTGTCCAAGACCCCGCCGATTGATGTAATAGAGCTCGCGGTTGAGCCTCGACGTCGGTTATGCCCATACCGTCCGCTTGAGCCCGGTCTCTGAGGCGTGTCGCTCTGGGGGAAAGCGTACTGAGAGGTTGATGATGGGCTGACAACAGGCGATCCTTGGGTGTCGAATGATTGCCTCGGTTTCGAGGAGGACATGACGATAGAGAGGTTGACGGCATGGGGACACTTTTGCGAGATCTCGTCTCCATCAGTTCAATCGCATGATGATTGCTAGCTCTATCTACAGTACAAAATCCGAGCTCTCTGCCAAGCCCACTCGTGTATGGCGCTACTCTAAAGTAGAGTAGTGTTTTGCAAGCGCGCGCCGTAGTCCGTCTAATCTTAATCGAGTACTTGGCACCTTGGCAGATGCAGGCGACAAAAATCCGCCCCCAATCGAAGCTCACTTGGGGGCTGCCGCTTTAGCGAGGGATCCTTCCACTCATCAAGACCTTCTGGTTCGAGCATCCAGAAAAGCGCTCTCGCACAGCCCACCCCAGCGGCCTCAGAGATGGCTGCCGAGGTGGGGTATGAAAGGGAGCGGTGCCCCGCCCATCCTGGCTCTTCAGTCCTTGCTCTTGTGACCAAAAGATTAAGACCACCATCTCCCCCATAGTCATCCTCGACTCTATCTTTGTTTCATGCGGTCATGAGCCGAAACGACGTATCGCCAGCAGAGCTACTGAAGAGACCTAAAGCAAACCGCTTCAAGCAGGATCGTGTTGACAATTATGGATCCGCCAATGTCCATTTCATGCTTCAACGTCAGGAAATAGAAAAGTTCCGCCGTAGCATCGATTGCCGGTTCGGGGGCCAACGACCACGACGGCAGGTTTAACTTCACATACGAGGAGATGTCCTGCACATCAGCTTCAAGTGGGCTCACCAGGGTGGGGAATGCTCTCGGCAGGTGGAAAAGGGCTCTGAACAGTGAGGTTCCGCCGCTGATGGATTTGATGGCACTTTTCGATCTTGCGACTGCGCATGGGTTTCTTGCGAAAGTTTGGCGTTTCTCGATTATTGGCTCCGAGGGTCTAGGGTCGTAAACGGGACAGGTTACTAGGGAGAGAAGATCCGCAATGTTATTGGCGAAGTCATGTGAGAGCGTGACGATAACATCTCCAGCTGAGTTGTTCGTTAAAATGGCAGGGGGAATCGATACTCCAGCCTGGTAAAAATCGATGAGTTTAGGTGGCATGGAAGAGACGCTGTCGGTCATAGTCAGTGACGGGCTCATGCATTTAGGGTATTAAGTCAGCTCTACCTTGTCGTTCGTGATGCCGGTGGCTGAGTGCTTGTCATCCTGCTCATCGGTGTGGAGTGTGCATTTGTACCGTTGAACGATGTCGCGCTTGATCGAGTAGACATCGATCCTGTACGGGTTGAGATTATTGAAGATGCTGTACTGCTTAAGGATCTTAAGGATGACGAGTTACTCGAAATCTGTGACGAAGAAGCTTTTGTGGAGGAAGAAAATCTTGAAGATAATGAAGTTGTCGTAGCGTCGCCAAGCGCAGCGACAGCGCTTACCATCCATATCGTTGTCCAAATCATCGTTGTCTTAGGATGGAAATCGTTGATGGTTTTCTTAGGGACCCACTCTCTCACTCATTCTACGTCGTGCGCTGGATCAAGTTCGTCCTGTCGCATATCAAAAGAGACAGCTAATGTAGGTTTCTGATGAAATCTTTGAATATGATTGCCAAAACATATTTCTTATTAATAATGCTTATGGCCTCTCACAAAGACTGTATGTCATTACGATATACCGTAGTCGAAAGAACTCATGAGCGAGATATCCAACGAAGCACTGCGACATTGACGGTCAAAATAAAGCGAGTGCGCAATCCTCCGTCGGTATTTGATTCAATACCGAGCGATATCCTTGCCAATCTCATGCTCTCCATCTCTTCCCACAACAATTCAATTCACAAACATGAAAACACTCTTCATCACTCTCCTCCAATTTCTCCTCCTTCTCAAACCCCACTTCGCCTGCGCAAGAGGTAAATATGCCTTCGCCCCTTCATGCCTAACCGCCGCCAACGCGCCCTTCATGCGCGAAGAAATCACGCTGGTGATGGAATCCGCCGCGAGCACCAAGGCCGCACTTCGCAACCCAAATGCCGACACAAATAGATTCGTTCGGTGGATGTTCGGTACCAGCACGCCTGCGTACGACGCTTACGCAGCGCCGCGAGCCATCATCGGTGGCACGGGCACCGGAGAAGACGACATCATTGGCATGGCCGGTGTGACTGGGGAGGTCCCTGCGGAAGAGGCGGAGGGAGGCGACGTGGTGAGTCACTGAGTTGGGTGGTCTTGTTTGTCGTTGTTGTTGGCGGGTTTGCCGCATACGGTCTTCAAATAAGGGTCTTGATTCGAGGCTGATCTGATTCAAGATCTTCTATTGCGACATGAGCCATATGAAACCTCTATATAACGAAGAAGGAGTTCTCGTGCAGTGGTATGATAGATGTGAGTCTCTCATTGTTCTCTCTGTGCCCCCCTTTTCTCTGCAGGCCATCCACCAAATTTACTAACGTCTTCATTCAGCCCTCAAAAGCTACAATGACGCAGACCCTGCCTATCTACTCTGCAGAGACACCAAGAGCAACTTCCGAGGCAACTTCGATGTCCCGAGCGCCCTCAACTTCGCATGGCAGAAGGTCGACGGCGAACTACCGGATGCTCCGGATACCATCATCATCTGCCCGTGGTACGTCGAGGCCGGTTTGGCGGCCGCGTACCAGGACTCGGGAATTTTCGACGATAATTTTTTCACCCGGGAGACACGGTTCTGGCAGGGACGGTCCACGCAGCGGACTTACGCGCCGATCGATTACTATAACCTGTTTGATAGCGGTATTGCGCATGAGGTTGGCGTTACGCTTGGCTTATTCTTGGATTCAAACCATCTCCTAACGCTGATGATACAGATGTACCATACTCGGATCGGTAACTTCAGGGATGATGTTGCGGGTGGAAATTCCTACAGTGAGCACCAACATTTGATGAAGGCCATGTCTCTGAAGCTGACCAATCGAAAGCCTGGGCGAATTGTCGAACTCTATCGTCAAACCCACACCCGGACACAGGCGCACCGCGTAATGTTGGCAAGTCTCACAGCCCATCACCCTTCATACCATCTCTAATCATCCTCACAGATAATTTCACATTTCTCACTATCGGTAGGCACTATTGAACACGGCCTGGGACTTCTGATTTCGCTGACTTGGAGAAGCAAACAAACTCAGAAATCTGGGACGAACGATCAGTTCCATTGGCGGGGTGGCTTGAATGGATTTGCTTATAGTCGATAATGTCCGCCGCTAGAATAGAGAGGAGTTCTTCGTGAAAGTAGGTTGCCACGCTACTCATCAGCGGCGGCAGATACGGTCTGATAAAGCGCGATAGTAGGCCAATACGGGAGATACATACTCTGAAAGTCTTGCAAGCGCGGTCCTCTCCTTTTGGGGAAATTTGGACAATAACGAAACAAGCCTTCGTGAGGGGCAGATGTAAGATTGTTCTGCGTCGTCAGTGTATCTGGATGATATGTCCCTAGCGTCATTTTCTGTCCTGCATGTGCGCGTCTGTAGAGCGGCACTGCTGCCTTGTACTTCCTACGAGTCACAAGTGCAACGGCTAAGTGGTCGAGGTTGAGTAGCATATCAGGGCGCCCTTCCTCAAAGATGTCTTCTCTCTTGTCCAGAGTAAGCCTAAGGAGCTGGATGGCTGCTTTTTCTTGCGTTAACCGAAAAGCACGGTTGCTACGTTGCTCAGTGCTGTTAAGATTTCTGGGTGACCAGGTCCTAATACTTCCTTCATCTTGCCAATCACGCCTCGAATCATCTTCTCGGCCTTCTTGTGGTGCTCTTCGGTGCTGATAACTACGGCCAAGCCGTCCGTTGTCTTGAGAACTTCCGGACCCTCTCGACTGGAGAAGTCTCTCTTGCACAGAGAGGACCCGGTAGTATAGTTCCTCAGCCTCTGAATACTTTTCTTGCCCTTTCTTTGTGATCGCAAGATCTTGGGCACGTTCCAAAGTATCCAAGTGCTCTGCGCGAAGGACCTAAAGCTTGAGAATGAGCAGAAGCTGATCCATTTCCGGTCTCACCCATCCGAACGTGTCGATGTTGGCGACATGCCACCGAAGACCGCATAATCCAGCCTAAAACGCCAGCATGACCACTGCCCATCCCATCACAACATTCTCGGGCAACAAGAACGAGGGGTTTTAATTAGGCGCAAACTGGTGATACGTTGATGTCAGTATTCGTAGTCAGCTAGGCTAGTCAGCCCTTCTGGATCAGCTTGGAGTGCATCGATACTGATATTGCATTTGCGTACCCGCAGAAGACTTTCTAACAAAGCCCAACCCTTGCTCCACCATCCCTTTCCGACGGGATCCTGATTTCGTCGATCGGCAATATCCTCGCCGAGATCGACGAGAAATGTTCGAAGCCGGCCTCTCGAGCTGCGCTGGTCGGTCTAGGAGGAGTAAGGTGAATACTTAGAAAGCTATATCTTGACAGGTGCTAATGCTCAGGAAAGGAATTCTCAACTCGCAATTGATTACTCCAGATACAAAATGGTGAGTGTCCGGTCATACATAATCCCCCACCATCTCCGGAGATCAAGAGACGTATGTGCGAAAGACGACCTGGTGCTAAAAATGTCCCTCAATTTTCCATATAGGGCTCTCTCTTGCTGAGTATGAGGCCTCACAAGCGCCAGCAGCAGCATCGGACCCTCACCAGAAAGGTAGCGGAAGCGATCGCGCTTCCGAGAGTTTCTTGACAAGATACGGGGAGAGAGAGAAGAGTATCGGTTTGAGGAAGGAACATCTCGAGACAGTCATTAACGTGTCCACCCAGTCTGAGCATTACTCACCAAACCGCAGGCAATTCCTCAATCGAGATGGCAATGATGGATCAGACGAGAAATGATGAATACGAATTTGGAAAACCTTACAAACGAAAGCAAAAGGAAAAAGAAAAGGAAATGGGCGGTGTTTGGAGGGGCGAAGACAGCATCATGAAGGTTTCAGAGGAAGACTCGCATGGTCAGTCAACGCCCAGACGCTCGAATGGCTAGGAATCAAGACAAGATCCAGCCACTTAACTGGCATGAGACAAACCCCATCCATCTATGAACCGAAGTCTTTAAGCTTTCTCACTCTCGAGTGACTGTCACTTTGACTTGAATGGGGTAGACAGAGCAGGGGAGGTCAGCAAGAGACGAAGATGAAGGGGGTGATGGGGGCAAAGATGCCTGAGTTTTATGTAAGGAGAGATACAAAAGTCGAGATCACTTTCAGTGAAAGTTAAGTATCTTCACGCCAACTATGATGATGGCATAGCCTGACGATTGCGCCGCATGGTCGATATTCAACCTATACGCAGGTGACCAAAACGTGCTTCTCACTCACTCGCAACTCGTACCGACATAGCCGCTTTAGCAAGTGTGCGAGGTGAGCAGGGGTACAGCCGACACCCGGTCTCGGTGATGAATATTTTCTCTTTGGAGAAAACGGGTTAGATTTTATCCTTCCGAAAGTTCTAAAACCGCATGCTTGCGTCTCGACACTATCGAAAGGAAAGGGTCGTCTAGATACTATCGGATGGTATACGGGAAGGCTCAGATTGGTAGGGAAGCCTTAGGGTATGGGGAGGCCTAGGTAAGAGAATGTCGCAAGTTACGGTAGGGTAGGGACTGAGTCGTAGGTACCGCTTGCTATAATGTTGTGTCCTTCGTTGTGTCTTGCGTTATGGGACAAGGCTAGATCCCAGGAGGTGCTTTCATCTTACTCTCTCGGATAATAGATGGCGGCTGCCTACTCAGGCTGTAGTCAGAGCGGCAAGCTGCAAGTTGGTGAGCGAAAGGTTCGACTTGAGGCGATCAGCGTTTCCACGATGTTTGTCCGGGCTCATAGTGAGTGTTAAGACTACCCAACACCTACGCAATGGAACGGGGTCATGCTAGAAGGCCTTGCCGGCACATGTGGGCGTCTACGCGATACAGACACGACCGGATCATCCAGTATCTCATCCACCATTGTTGCGCCTGTGCAGGGTTCGGAGATTTTTACCGACTTGTGTACGATGGCCTTGTATGATGCCGTGCGAGGAGTCGATGTTACCAGCACAAGCTGGCCAGAAACATCATTGCAACTTGAGCCATGTGTGGAGATGTGAGGTAGTTCTGCAACAAGCTAATCCACGCTAGGTATTAGCCAAAACAAACATTTCCGGTTTGATGGCTGTGGACCTAGTTCGAATCCTGGCCAGTTCGGACAATGTAAGCGCCAGGCGGAGCACCAATTGTGTCAGCTGATAAGGAAGGAATTCGATGTCAAGAGGCTGGTGGTGTGCTGATGTGCAGCTCTAGCGCAAGCCGATAGGTCGTGATAGGTAGTGGATGGCAGGCTTATCGGGCATCACGGGAGCCTGCAGCGGCCCGCATGAACGACAGTTTTAGCCGATTTGAAGGTGGGGTTCTCTCCTTAGTTGGATCTCATCTGGTCTCTGTCTCGTCTCTGTGAAGCTTCACTATTGATCCTGTTCCTTTCCACCTCGCTGGTGGATCTGTCTCATTGCTGAATTTCACATTGATGCTGGCAGTGCGAGATGGTTGAAGTGTATGGTTGACATATACCAGTGCTAAGAAGAAGGACACAAGCCGACTGATAGGGGAAAAATCCGCCCGTTCAAAACCCAAAGGTGTACGATGCTCATCTTAGTCCCCTTGCTTGACTCACGTAACATCTCACAGCTCATGTCTCTAAAACATCTTTCTGGGATGGTCAACGATGCACGTCCTTTAGTCACCTCTTAGTGTTCCGTACAAGTACTGAATTGGAAAGGTCTGCGAGTCTAACTTCTGCTCCATCAGGACCATCGAGCACGCTAGCACTCAAACATGGAACGCACATTGTCAATACTGTAACCCAACAATTGGTCTCCGAACCCTCATCTAACGAACTGCCAGCACAGTACAGGTTTTGCGGTAAACAGTGTCATAATGCATCGTGGTACGGCACCTACCATTGCCACAGAAGGTAATAACGATGGAGAGGAAGATGCTCTGAACAAGAAAGAAATGCAATCGGCGTTGGGAGGGTGTTGGAACGGGGGAAATGAAGAGATGTGAAATTTCATATATGAGAAGTCAAAGAGCAGAGCGTTTGATGATAGGTCTTTGCCAGGTCATGGCTACCTTTTCATTACCACAAGTTGAATCATAAGTCCTAGTTCTCCCTCGTCCGGTAGGGTTGAAAGAGATTAGATGTCCGAGTACATTCCCGGTCAAGAATGGCTGGCTCACTGGGGGCTGAAAGAGATTGTCTCCTGTGAAGAGAATTGCACTGCTTTAGAAGAAAGACTCGAGGAGTCAAAGGCCAGCACTCTGTCTCTTCGAAGCCACTGAAATCACATCATGCAATCTCAGCATCTGAATGGGAAGATTCGCGAGCATCTAAGAATCACTTCAAGTCTTGCCATACTCTGCTTTGGGCTCTACCATATTCATCTGAGCCTCTCCCTTGGCAGCACCGATAAGCAACTGCAACTCCTCATGGTCTTCCACGCCCACAAGTTCGACACCAGATCCGACCGTCCTGATGCGCGTATTGAGGCTCATGGTCCGAAAACGCTTGATACCAGCACAGGTGTTGCTTAGATCCTTAGTGCTCACCTTAGATGTCTGAGCTAGCACGAGGAGTTCTTCTAGCGTGTCCCAACAGCCGGATCCTCGCCGGAAAAGAAGAAGATGTGAAATGTGGGCCAGGGCGACGACCACATAGACGAGGAGAACGGCGATGGCTAAGTAGTCTGTTGCTCTTGACGCATTGAAAGCGTAGCCTGATTTGAGAGGATCGTTCAGCTCTGTTCTCTTGCGCTGATCAAGAAGGAGGACGCTCACCTGTCAGATAACCCTGGAATGCCATTGCCGTGTGGGAGCCCGTCCCAGTTGGCTTCGGACAGAATAGGTAGTTTGAGGTGACATTTTCGCATTTTGAACGATCATTTGTGTAGACAATCTGGCCGTCATGCGTGAATACTCTCTCGAGGCCCACGCGCGACATGCCGTCCGCAAAATAAGTGGAGATAATGGGCTCATAAACTGCGGCTCCGCCGTTGACAGGCGGGATGCTAAGGTTGGCTGCTACAAAGACGTTTTCAAGACCTGTCGTCAAGCTCGATGCACTCATTGTGGAGTTGGGTCCCTGGTTGTTCTGTGTCACCGGGCTCAGAGCCTCGAGCCAAGCTCTGTCGGCGGCCACATGTCTCCAATCTCCGTTATTGACTGGTAAGGCGGTTGTTCTGAGATTGTTGCGTGAGACCTCGTCACTGATAGCTACGCTGACAGGGTTACCCCAGGCTTTCAAGGTAGTGTTAGTCCTCGATGATTCCATCATTGTATGCACAACTTTGTTCCATCGAGCATCTATTGAACACACAAAGCCGTCACGAACAGTTCCTGTATTCGATCGAACGGGTCCCAACAATACTAGTCCTGCTGTTATCGACGTGGCATTGGCGATAGCAACCCAAACGGTTGTGAATGAGGTGTTGTTTGTCAGGGCGTTGTGAGACGTGCCCCATATTGGCTTTGGAAGCTGTATGGTAACGAACTGCCGTCCGGAGCTGTTGCTTTGAGCCCAAGCTTTGTATTCTTCGAGCAATGGTAGAGAAACCGTCGTGGTATTGCTTGAGAATGTTTGGATATCAGGGGCACAGACGGTCCGGACAGCTGACGCTTGTGAGGTGATACTTCCCGAACGCTGCCCTCTAGATTGGTAAGGTAGAGGATACAAGTGCCCGGGATTCCATTGCGGGTCGTACCAGAAATAGTACGCGACCTGAGAGGTGGCTGCGTGTGGAGCGAACGCCCAGGTCTCTGCACTTACGGTGCTCTCTCCTGGCCAAACGTCCAAGAATCGCGAAATTCCAGTCTCTTGCGTCCCGATTCGGTAATTGTCTTTGTACAACGCGTAACTATAATAACTCTCAAGATTACGAGATCCTCGCGATATACATTGTTTGAAGTTTGAGCTATTCGTTCCAAGGCAAAGAGGACCCCCAACATTGTTTGCAGTCAGTTGATCTGGCCAGTAGTCAGAGGCGGTCCCCTTCACGTAATAAGCAGTGCTGAAAGAATGCCAGGTCTTTTGCAAGCAGAACTTTCAAATCAGCAAACAGTTCGCTTGACTGGGGGAAGAATTAAATTCTACTCACAGCGATTCGAGGTAGCATTAAGATCGCGCTTGCCGGACCTACGGCAAGGGCAAGGGTGCAACCCATTGTGATCTGCGCAAAAAGCTGTGCGCCTTTCCGCTTACAGTACCAGGTCCCCGAGACGCCGCCCCATAGAGCTGACGACCATAGGTAACTGGGACGAGCGAACGAGAAGCCAGCAACGGCTATTCCTAAAGGAATACCGTCTCGCAGCAAATAACTTCCGATGACATGAAAGAATGTTGCTCCAACGCCTGCAATTACGAGAAGTTCCTGGCTTGACGTGATCAGCATGTGATGGCTGAGTACTGGTGCATCATTGTAGGGTATTGTTACTTGAATTTTGGCGGCGACTTGAATGAACCCAAGAGCTAGGGCATCCCCCTGATCGGTATTGGAAGGTTGAAGATGTTCACCGATGTAGAAACCGCCTAAATTAAGTCGAAGAAGTATAAGTGTGACGGCGAGTGGTGGAAGATGTACAAGACAGCGGCCGAAAGCGGCTAGAGCAGAGTCTTCGATGACCACCTTTTTGGGCTCGAGCTGTTGCAAGTAAGGCAGCGAGAGTGCACGTAGAAAAGCAACGATGTCGAAACCAAGACTCCGACAAGCACGCGCGAAAATGCCAGGGGTAGAGTGCATTATGGCGACACATCAGAACTGAATAAACACTGGGACCGTCGCATTCTTGTGAATAGATAGCTATGCATCGAGCCGTCCCCTTTTGAAGTGGAGACATTTCAAATAGGTTGTGAGTACCTACAATGGAGACGCGCAAGGATGATTCAGTAGAAAGGACTCACCGCACAGTCTTGCCCTCCAATGGCCTATCTCATTCTGCCTAGGGTGGAGCGCCGATGAAGCTCGCCAGACCATGTATTGTGAGAGGTTGCTTTCCAATGGCCTATCTCATTCTGCCTAGGGTGGAGCGCCGATGAAGCTCGCCAGACCATGTATTGTGAGAGGTGATGACGTGGCCCGCGAATTTTTGAGATGCCTCAGTTGCCTGAAAAGGGTTTCATTCGAGGCTGACGTACAGCAAAGATGATTGTTTTAAACTCTGCTGATGTTTCTCACCGCTGCGGAGCTAGGACCCTCACATTGGGTCTTTCTGCATGCATACTCAGCCCGCCCTCAGCCGTAGACTTGGCCAAACCCGGTCCGAAGCCTCGGCTACACTGCCCGTAAACACCCATCTCGGATATTGAATGATTAGTAGGCTTCCCGAGAAGCTATCTTGCGATAAGCATGAAATATGCCGACATCGTATAGCCGGTTCCCTAGTTCATCCTACCATAGCTCCCTTCGAACGTGGACGTGGACTTGCAGAGGACGTCATGGTTGCGGATGCTGGTTGTTACGCCGTTATTGGATTTTGCAATAGTAGTGTTTCTGTGCAGAGAGAAAAGTTTGGCACCCTGACTGGTTGGTTTGGGTCAGGACCATTCCGGAAGACTAGACCTACACCAAGGGGTTGGACTTGCGGTGAGTCGCCAGACCTGCGCCAAGTCCAGCACCCGAAGCTACAGCCATACACAGCACAGTAATCACTGCAAATGTCCAAAAAGCTTTGTGCGGGCTGTGATTTCCCGTGGACGGAAGAAGTGGCAGGTTCGGCTCGTTAGGGGCATGATCGTGCGATTTTTCCGGCCCAGCGTAGTACTTTTTCGCGTCCGGAAGAAGAGACATCTGTGGCCCTGTGTCTGACACGACCTCGATTTCGGATTGTTTTGTTTTGTTCATCCTCCAGACCTAAATTCTGAAATCTTGAGCTTAGCGAAAAGCTAACGAAGTCCGGAGAGTGACACAAGTGACAGAACCTTATCCACCTCTGTTTTGCAACAGCTTCCTCGCCGATTGGCTAGAACCTTAGATATGAGAAGGCTATGCTAGCATGACCTGGTTGTAGTTGGACGTGAGATTCATGGGTCAAAGTATAAATGTTGAGACAAACGATTAGACCTCGGGGCAAAATAGAAGGGGCCGAGCCTGTGTGCAGAATCTTTTTTGCAATGGAATTGGCTTACTGCTAGGCACAAATCGTGCAAAGCACTTCAGCGGGGCATTGTTATGGTAGCTGCATGGCGCTACGCATCCGGCAAGCAATTTGCTGACAGGGAATTCCATCCTGAATCGAGGGTCTAACGGGGCATATTGCTGATCGCAGAATTTCTGCATTCTGTGTTCACCGACTGACAGCGTCAGGCTTAACGGAGTGTAAGTGTGTATGGAATGATTTTCACACGACAAATGTCGGAGGGTAGAACTCCCCACAGCCGAGAAATTATTTACTGTGGTGCGCAGCCAATCTTTCAAAGCCTTGTCATAGCTTCGAGGTAGACCAACAGCCGCTTTCCGACTCTCAGCATCCAAGGCTGTAAATCGGCGCATACTTTCGACCTTGGCGTCCTCGCTCAGCCGAAAGCGACGCTGTAGACTGCGGATCTTCGCAGCCTTGTCAAGCCTTTGTTGTAATTTCTGCGTTCACATGCACTGAGTTTGATGCTGCTGGTATTCATTCCCGCCAACACATCATATTGATACTGTCGATGCTCCGGTTTTAGGTCTTCAGCAAAACTCCGCTTGCTGAGGGGTGGAACGTATTCGTATAGGTATGGTATTTGGTAGACGAGGTGGATGTGCAACATATAGAGATATCTAATTATTAAGCGTAGATACTCTCGAGACTAGACTTTTTAGCTAAGTTACTAATAATAGTATCTACGCTTAATTCCGAGTCGATTATAGTTTAAAGAATCCCGGCTAGAATTATTCTAAAGCGATATTAGCCATAGTCGAGGGTAATACGCTTAGTCTATTAAGGATCGAGGGTTCGAGAATACTTAAATCTTCTATTAAAAATTAGAAATTTGATTTTTTTAGAGGATCGCTCGGGAAATAGTCACGCCGAGGGCGGGTCTCGAAGTCGAATATTTTCGAATAGGACGTTCTATTTCAATAAGATTTTCGAATAGAATAGCTTTATTTTAATAAGAATATTTCGAATAGAACGTCTTAGAATAAAGAGTCTAAATAGACGCTCGGGAAATAAAACTTCGAGGCTGACTAAGATAGGCTTAAATTTAATTTATATACGCTAAGGCGAGGCTATAGATTTAAAATATAGTTTTATTTTTATATTATATTAATATAAAGACGAGATTAAAGATCTTTTACTTAATAGTCTCGTAGATAAAAACTCTAGTAATAATATTTTAAGCTCCGTAAATAAGCGGGTATTTAGAAGTCTTCGAGGGAGTAAACCTCGGAGTATAGGGTATATTATTCTTAAAATCGTAGATCTTTCGAAAAAGAGTTCTCGAAACGTCGCGATTTTTATACTATCTTCGAAACTCGAGGATAAGCTCTTTAAAGGGGAAGGTATTATTAGAAATAGCCCTTACGAAGATCTTACGAAGCCTCTACGAATAGATATTTAGATTTAAATAGGGGTGTCTAACTATTAAGCGTAGATATCTTCGAAACTAGACTTTTTAGCTAAGTTACTAATAGCGAGTTAATTAATTAATTATTAAATATAATATAATTTTATCTTATTCTTAATATATATATAATAGTTTTTAGAGCTTTAAATACTATAACTTTTATTATTATTATTTTAAAAAAGTATTTCTTTACTCTAAATCTCGAGTAGATCTTTTCTTTTAGAGATAATTAAAAGAATCTTATTAATATATTATTCTTAAGTTATTAAATCTTCGAATTTCTATATCTATAAGATAGTAAGATCTCTTTTAATAAAACTGCGTAGTAGCTATATAATTATAAGATCTAGATACGTAGTTAATAGAATAGATAGATTAATTACTAGATAAACTAATAATTAAAGAAAAAAGAAGAGAAAAGAGAACTCGTAAATATTTAAGACTTTATTAAATATATTAAATACTCGCTTTAGCTATATAGCTTATAGTCTAATAAATAATATAAACGAGTTTATTAATTCGCTTTAAGTACTTTTACTCTTATAATTATATTTCTTCTTAGAAGATTTAATCTTTAAATCTTATTATTATTACGTCTTATAATTAAATATATATAAACTTATTAATATTATTTACGCTATTTATTACTAGCTTAAATATAGTTTAAACTAATATATATTATAATAGCGTATTTATATTATATATCTTAAGATCTTTTTAAGTATATTATTATATTTATATACTAAATTATAATAATATTACTATATATATTATTATTTTAATTAATAGAATATAGACGTAATATTATCTTATTACGATATACTATTATCGCTATTATTATACGCTATTATTATATTATTACTTTATAATTATAATAATTCTATTATAATAATTATTAAAAATCGCGTTAATAAGTATAAAAGACTTACTTTTAATTTAACTTTTATTCTTTTTAATAATAATATTAACGTCGACGCTATTATAAGTAAATATTCTATTCTTCTTTATATTTACTATTTTATCTTTATTTATTCTTATCGTAATATCGCGATAGCGAGTTATATATTATTATAATAATATAATATATATATCGATTAAGATAATAGTTAAATAAGATTATAATTATTTAAATTAACTTTATATATAATAAGTATCTCGAAGAATACTTTATAATACTTTATAAATAGTATAAGAAGTATATTAATATATTAATAGTAATATTAAATCTTCGCTTTTATAATTCTATAAGTTATTAAATACTTATAATCGTTATAGTCTTTATACCCCGCGCTATTATTAATAGATATTTATATTTATTTTAAAGATATACTTAACTAAGAAGATTATTAATTCTCTTTATCGCTATTTTAAACGTCGTTTATAAATAAAAGAGATATTAAATAATTAAGAGATTACGCTAATATATATTAATTTCCTTTTATTATTATTATATATATACTCTTATATATAATTTTTATATAATTTATATCGTATTTTCTATTAATTTACGCTAGCGTAAATATAAGCGATACTTTTATAAGAATTATATATATATTATAAACTTAATTCTTATTTATTAGATTAATATTCTTATTATAATTTATATTAGCGAGAATATTTATACTATTCTTTATTACTAAATTAATATAAATTTTAATTAATATATATTAAAATATATAGTTAATATACGTAATAGCTTATCGCGTTAAGAAACTTCGATATAATATTATTATCTTCGCCTCTTTTTTAATTACTTCTCTCGCTATTTCTTATATTAAGTCTTTTTATTATTTAATAAATCTTTTAAATAAATAATTACTTTTTAATATAAGAGAATAAATAAGTTAATATTAGATAGTAATAATTATATATATAACTTTAATAATTATTTTTCTTATTATATATAACGCCTCGACGCTTTAAAATCGATTTATAAATATTTTAGCTATTTTCGCTAAGTCTTTTAGCTATAACTTATTTACTCTTCGAGACTTCTCTACTATTACTACTTTCGTAATTTTTTTTACTTTTTAATCTCTTTTAATAATTATATCTTTAACTTTATCTTAAATACTAATTTATATAATTTCTTTATTTACTTAAAATTCTTAATTATATCTTTATCATTTTTAAGATACTTTATTAATTTTTATAAAGCTTTATAAGATAAGAAGTCTTTTTAGTTAATAAAAAATTTAATCTTATTTTTATAAACTCTTTTATCTAATATCTTATTAATCTTCTACTCTTTTTCTTTATTAATTAAGATTATTTATAACTTTAAATTATTATTATACGAGTATTACGACTTTAATAGTAATATATAAAATATAAAATAAATTTTTTTATATCTAATAGAGAGATTTAGCTTATAAATTTATATATCTATTTTCTTTAATATTTTAAAAGATCTAAATTATTTATAATTAAGTTTCTTCTTTAATTATAAGATATATATATTTAAACTTTATAATAGTACTTTATCTTCTTTTTTAAAGATTATAATTTTATAATTATTATTATAATACTTTACTTACTACTTTAACGCTCGCTTCTATAATTCTTTTAAATATAATCTTATTTCTTATAATTATTTTACTTACTCTATAATAAGCGATATTTTCTCTCTTAAGATTCTACTCTTAAAAGTATTTTCTAGATCTACTATATATTTTATTAATAAGTCTTATAAAATCTTATTAATATTTATATATATATTATTATTATATATAAATATAATTATTAATAAGATTTTAAACTAATTATCTTATTTATAATTATAATATACTTATAGATAATATTTTAATATCTAATTTTATCTCTTAATCTAATTATTAATTTAAGAATAAAATATAATACTTAATCTACGCTTCGTATCTAGATATTAATATAATATTATTTAAAATTTATTTATAAATAAAGAGTTTTAATTCGAAATTAAGTTATATATTATATCGCGTAATAATATAAACTCTCGCTATAAGATATTAATAAGATTATTAATCTTTAAATCTTTTATAATTATTATATACGTTAAATACTTAGTTAGCTTATTTATTAAGATTAAAATAATATTATAAATCTTATTAATATATATGTTACGGATTCCTCCACTAGGCGTCCCGATTGGGCTTAGTGCCTTGGCACTGCAGAGACTTCTTCCACTGCAGGCCTACATTCATATCATTATCACACCACACACACATTATTCATGCATATGATTCCACTTAGGACTATTCCTTAACAATGGTAGCAACACCCTGGTTCTAATAGACCAGAAGAAGCCGTCCAATTGCTTCCGCCCACCTCGCCTTAGTCCAGCACCTACACGGACCCTACAACACTCACTATCGGAGAAATACACAGAGAATACCACTCCTATCGGGTGCAGTATCTCCAGAGTCTCTAAGACGCCCACCTCGCCTTGTCCAGCACCTAATCGGACCCTACAAACACTCGTCTACAGCGATCCTTTCACTAGGCCATTCGTCCTACCACCATGACTCCTACCACCATGGCGTACAATAGCCACATTTCCAGCCCTATGCCTGGCTTTACAGCAGAGCAAACAGCCTCCCTACAAGTCATGATCAAAGCAGCAATCAGTCAGGCTATGACAGCCTTCGAGACCAGACAGGCAGACCTTCAAGCCAGACATGGGCCTGAATACCAGCAACAGTCAACTGCGGAGAAAACTGCGGAGAAACCTACGGAGAAAACTGCGGAGAAAACTGCGGAGAAAACTGCGGAGAAGACTACGGAGAACAAGAGCACGGGCAGCAGCAGCGACAATGACAATACGGGCACGCTCTCCACTATTCCACACCAGGCTACTATGCACTATTGCGGAGAGTCTGCCATTCGCCTCAGTAACGCTCCACTTCTCGCCTCTCTTCTCGCCTCTCTTCTCGCCTCTTTTCTCGCCTCTCAACTCGCCTCCCCGCTCGGCTATATTCGATATGCGAAGGATATGGAGGCTACAGGTCAAGGATAGGTGCATGGGTATGTGAATGGCGCATGCTCTATGTAGCCGGTTAGGGATTCAGCATTTGGCCATGGGGATTTCGGAGAAGAATCGGGAGAAGCAGGCCTATGGCACTTGATGTATCTCTGGCGTCTCCATGTCTGCAGCGAGGACGCTGTCATTTTTCTTCTTCGGTGGCATTTGTTACGGATTCCTCCACTAGGCGTCCCGATTGGGCTTAGTGCCTTGGCACTGCAGAGACTTCTTTCACTACGGAGGGTGACACCAAAAGTCCTGCACATGCGCTAAATCTCTTGATATACTTGGTAAATATTCTAAATATCTTAAATATCCTTAATATCACTACTTTTTACTTAATAGCGACGTTAATATTATATATACGAGGTATATATATATAAAGTATATATATACGAAGTATATACGCGTTATAGCGATATTATAGTTATATATAAAGAGTATATTTATCGAATTATAACGTTAATATTAAACGTATTAATTTATAAGAAAAGAGAGAGAATCTTAAGATTTTATATTATATATAAAGTTCTTAATATAGCTATAAGAAGTAATCCTCTCTATATTCTCTATATTAAAATATTTATAGATAAAGCTTAAGCTATTAATTATAATAATAATATTAAATTTTAGATACTTATTTTAATCGAAGCTAATATTATAACTTAAATTATTATTACTATTATTAAGATCTCTCGCTTTATTACTAATTATCTATAAAAATAAACTTATATTAGAGAATTTAATTCTAGTAAATCTTAGAAATTACTACTATTATATATAAGTAATATATCGAGATCTAAATAATCTCTAATTATTATTCCCGAGATTAAGAGTACTATTATAGTCGCTATACGAAGAGATCGCTATGATTATAAAAAAACCTTATTTATATTAACTACTAAATAAGAATTCTTATTAATAATAATTTTATATATACTTAAACGAAACAATTTTCGACCTTATAAGATTATTAAAAAACTCTCTTTTATAAAAGCTATAATAAAAGCTTAATATTAATTCGCTTTACGATATTAAGACTAGATTATAAAGAAGTAAAAAAAGTAATTTAAAGTAATAACATTAATATAATCTTAAATTCTTAATAAAGAAAAGTACGTGTATAGCGATAATCTAATGAAATCTTTATTAAATCTACTATACGATATCGTTTTATAAATACTATAAAATTTATATTCTAGAGTTATTTCTTATATAATAAGAAGGGGTTATATTATATTTAAAAAGCGGAAATTATAGCTAAAAAGAAAGAATATATCGCGAATCTCGCTTAAATTAATAATACTTTAGAAGCTAAAATTAAAGAAGCTTAGAAACTTAAGATCGATATACGATAAATAAGTCTACGGAATCTTTCTAATAAGAAACTTAAGTGAAAGTTTACTATTAAGATTAGAAAAGTTATTATTAAAAGAAAAAAGAGAGGAATTAATTAATATCGCTATTAGAAAAGATATATATATTTATATTTTTTATATTTCTCCTTCTTACTAGATATAGATTCTTATTTTAAAACTTCTAAAATTCGCTTAGGAGTATAAATAAGAGTAATTTAATATAATATTTATAGAAGATAAGGCCTCGATTTATATATTAAAGTATTAGGAAATAGTTTATATATTAATAAATATTATTTAAATAGTTTAATACGATAACTTTTTAAATCTTAATATAATTAAGCTTTATTAACTATAAATAAAGCGTTAAATTATTCGAAAAGATATATTAAGAACTTATAAAGATATTAAGAAATAATAATTATATTACTAAAATTACGAGCTTATATAAAAGAGAATTTAGAAGTAAATAGAGCGAATATTAAGATATATTATAGAGATTATTTATCTTAAAAGCGATAACGAGTATAAAGAAGATTATAAAAGAGGTAATATATAATTCTATAACTCTACGAAGTAAGTAAATAAATATATATATAGCTATATAAAGTATTATTACTAGAAAAATAAAGCTATCTAAAAAAAGATTAGATTTATTAAAATATTAAGTATACTAAGAGATTTAGCATATATATAGAACTTTTAATATTATTCTTTATATAGATCTATATTTATATTATTATTATATTATATATATATTATTTATATATATAATTTTACTTAGAACTATTTCTTAATAATATAAATCTCTTATAAATAATAGATTTATAATAAAATTTAGTATTATAGTATAAAATAAATTTACTTTATTTTAAGAAAATTAACGTTAACTCGCTATATAACTTATAATAATAAATTTATATTCTTTAATAATCGAGATAAGTATAAATATATTATATTATATTACTTATTATATCTATTTAATAATATTTAGATTTAATATTCTTTTTAATACGCTTATAGATAAAGTATTTAATATTAAGATTATTATAATTTATATAAAGAATCTCTTTCTTTATAGTAGAATTATTAGAAATATAAATTACGAGATTACGACGTAGTAGTCTATTCTTATCGACTCTCTATTTCGAAAGCTTATTCTATTTAATAGCGTATTTTTAATATTACTTCTTATTTATAATAAAAGCGTTTTTATATTATAATTTAAGTAGTTATATTATTATTAATTCTCGTAATTTTAAATAAAATCTCTTTAACTTTAAAATTTAATAAATTAGAAGTTAAGACGATATTATAATATCTAGAATACGTATTTATCTATCGAGTACTCTTTTATTTAAATTAATAACTTAAATATCTATAATAATAATATTATTTAATTACTTTATTAACGCTATAAGTTTAACTATAGTAAATACGCTATTATATTTTTATAAATTAAATTAATATTCTTAATTATAAAGCTTATTTCGTAAGATAGAGAGAAAATTATTATTATTATTCTCGCTATTATTTAATTTAATAATATTAAGTCTTCTTAATAATATATTTATAGAATTAAATTTTCTCTTATAATATTCGATTATAAAGTTAAATATAACTAATTTCTTAGCTTAGCGAATCTACTTTATATTAAACTCTTTTATCGTTATAAAATAATATAAATTATTATAATCTAAGATTATATAAATAAAGTACTTACTATTTTATAAATAATATCTTTAATTCTTAAAGTCTAATATAATTATATAAAGCTTTTTATTATATATATTTTAGTAAGACTTAGTATTTTTAAATTTATAGCTAAAAAAAGTAATAAGATATTATTATTTATTCTCGCTTAATTAATTAAGTATATTACTTATATCTACGTTAAAAGTATTAATTTTTATAATAAGCGATACTTTCTAATTATAATATTTTAATATAAATATAATAATAAATACTCGCTTAAGTATTTTAAAAGTCTTATATACTTTTTTATTAAATACGAAGAGTAATCTAATCTCGTCTTTCTTTACTTTTCGAGTTAAATCTATTAAAGACGTAGCTATCTATAAAAAGTCTTATATAAATTATTAATAAAAATCTACGAATTTTAGAAAAATTAAGATATTCTTAATAGACTCTAATTTTAATTATTTAGTAATAATCTTAATACGTAATAACTTTCTTTAAATACTACGCTAGTTTATTAAGAATCTTAAAAAAATAATCTTATTACGATTAAAAGTATATTTTAATAATTTTATATAAAGTCGATATTTTAATAATACGCGTAGTACTTTACGTATATACTTCTAATATAACTCTTTTATTTTAAAATAAATTAGTATATTATTTAAATATATTATATAAAAGATATTAATATATAGTTTAAATACTTTATTTATATAAGCTTAAAAGATTATAAGAGTATTTATAAGATTAAAAGATATTACTTAATATTCGAACTAGCTATAGCGAGTTCGAAAAATAATTTTTTACTTATCTTTCTTTTATACTCGTATTCGATAATATATATTACGAATATTAATCTTAATAAAGTACTTTATATATATAAATCTTTTTAAAATCTTTAAAAGTAGTAATAACGAGTAATTATTCTTAATAATTATCTCGTTAAACTTTTAATAATTAACGAGTAAAGGCCTATGAATTAAATTCATAATCATTTTTTTTTAATCGGGGCTATCGAGTAAATTTTGGTAAGCGATCTTTGATAAGCGATATCTGAATTCCTTACCTTTAAATATCTATAAGACTAAATTTAGTAATTCTTTTTTTATCTAAAAGCTTACATTATACTCTATAGTTTAAGTTTAAAATTCTAAAATTTTAATAGAAAACAAAAAAGTTATTCTAAAATTAAATAATGTACACCTATTTTTTGATTAGGGCTGTCGAGCGGATTTTGGTAAGCGGACTTTGGTGAGCGATATTTGAATTCCTTGCGCTTTAATAATTATAAGACGAAATTTCAAAATTCTTAAAAATTCGGAAAGCGCAGACTGCGCTTTAAAATTTAAAATTTAAAATCTTAAAAAGTTAATAGAAAATAAAAAAGTTTTTCTATATATTAATAATATACACCTATTTTTTTAATAATTACGAATATTAATTTATTTACCCGCGGTGTCTAATTAAAAAGCGTAGACCTAATAAATTAATAATTAACTATATATACAAATTCAAGATTTTCTAATTTAGCTCTATCTTATTCTATTATATATACTAATATATAATTATAGCGAGTCGTCTAGTTTCTTAATAAATAGTATTAATAAGTTAATCTAACTAGTTAAGAGTTAATTTTATTTTCTCTTAAGCGTAATATCTAGATAATTCTTAATCGCTATAAACTCGTTATACGATATATTATAAATCGAATTACTTTTAAATAGCCTTTTAAATAATAAATTAATTAAATACTCGATCTAGTTATATATATTAAAACTATTAAATAACTCTTCTAAAAAGACTTTTAATAGATTTTTAAATTATTTAAATACGCTAAAGTCGTCTAGCTACGTAATATTATATTATATAACTTTATTATAATTATTCTTATTATTTTTAAATAGAATCTAATATAAAAAAGCGATAAACGCTTAT